TTTTCTTCCAAGCATTTCATTAATCAGTTTTGTCACAAAACCAAGTTTCAGAAATGGATACTAAGTTAGATTCCCTTTGTCGCACATTTTGTTTTTGGAGTTTCCTAGGGTATTCTTCATTCTGTTTAACATTTTTCCTTCTGGATTTGTACTATTTCAAATATAAGGCAGAAATTTTGATTGGAAAATGAACGAGGAGCATATAGAGAGCTGTTCTAAAATCTAACCAAGGTATACGATTGGTCGCAATAAAGTTCCGGACCCTTGCGTTTTATTTACCAATTAATGTATTGAAGCAAGTTCCTGATCCTTTCTATTGTGTAATATCACAGTTCTAATTTAGTTGCCATTTAAACAAACAGTGAATCAGCCCGTGGTCTGTCGATCCAGCAATTAGATCCATTAACGATCGTAAAAACAAATTAAACTGGATTTCTCTGATTGGGCCAATTTAACAATTGATTTGTTTAGAAAAACGAGAAAAGCATGTTTTGAAAATGTATCAAGCGTGGAGAAAGCGGGTTATGGTTTCGTGGACACATTAAGGGGAGGTTAATAAGCGTACAGCCAGGGGGTAGCCAGTCCATAGACCTGTAGGCCTGGGCCCACAAATTTTTGGTTTGATCACTCTACCGGCGATTGTAATAAATTATGCATTTTTGGGTTGAGCTAAAAAGCTCAATAGCTCAAAGTATTGGTGACTTCAATGCGTACTAGCCATGCGTCCAATTTTCAGGATATGTGGAAATGAAAGTCAGCCAGGCTTACAACTAGGCGAAAAGCTGGCTACGCCCCTGACAGTTACGTTTTTCACTTCAGAAATCCTTAAATGTAGCTTTTAATATGTTTGCAACATGCGGCTTGACTTTGTAATTCTTACCCCTAAAACTGCAAACAAACTGTGGAGCGTCAAATAGATATTATTATACGGGCTTTACTCTTGCACTTGTTGGTGAACAGAAACTACAATTTGAACCATAGCATCATACCACCTCTAATCACTCTCTGATCACGTGCGTCAGTCTTCAAAATCTACAATTGTCTCTTCCGTCCAATTGTTATGCTCTATCAAGCAACAATTGTCGCGGCTTGTTGCACACTCACACACTCATCAACTCTTTACGATAAACAGTTCGTTATCACACGTTAAAATAACAACTGGTTAAAGTATTTTCAAAATATCCCAAATTCTTTCGCCATATACCTAGTCCCTGGACCTCATGATCACTTTTTTCTTTCCCAATCTTCCTCCGAATTCCATAATAAAATACAGAGAAAACATACGGCATGCCTGAGGCGCTCGCTCCCTCATGAATTAGCCATTTTACTGAAGTTCAGCTTGTTGTGTCGAATGTTATGTCCGTTGCGACATAACTGATTGTTTGGTCACGTTGCCATGGTAGCAAAATTTCTGGATGACAACAAACCGAAAACGTGAATTCGCACTGTTTCAAACTTCATCGATCTTATTCATTTTCAATTAATTTGTCAAATGTTGGCGAAGTTCTCTGGGGTTGAATTCGAAAGGACCGTATCTAAGTTAAGAGAAAGAACAAGAAAAATATGAAAAAAAAACGTGATGCACGTACAAAGTTGTTGCTTTGCTACTCTAAACCTAGTAAGCCAGTTATTTAAACGGAGTTTAGCCAGTGTCTAACAAAACCTCGTTCTGTTTTCCTTACGCTTTTATCCTAAAACTATTCATCGTGAAAAGTTGCTTGAAGGCATGAGGCGTAGACTAGAAATGGCATCTGTCTTCTTAAAATAACCATTTAAGGACAAGATCTGGAGGTCCAAAGATTTGCTAAACCGCGCGTGGCCTAAGTTAGACTTCGCTTAAATAACTGACCCATTGTTTTTTGCCGTTCTCGTTGCTGTCGCCGTAGTCGTTGCTTAAGCTCCCTCTGACCTGACGTCACACTTCTCCTCTTTGTTGTGTTGTGTCGAATTGCATTGTGGGACTGGTTTGGGGGACGAATTTTGATCCAGTTTCCTGCGAATCCTCATATCCCGTTCAAAAGTAAATGAAACCTGGCTTTTCGGGTCGTTGAATTGCAACATTTCTGGGAGCAAAGGAACATGTGGACAGGTAGTCCTGTTTTTCCACACGGAATGTTCCTAGCAGAAATTTGCGTTCCATTTATTAAAGCCCATCTTTGATACCGGTTTCAGGCTTTCTCGGCCGTTTTTCGATAACAGCCCGTGTAAATGGTAAGCACGATTCTGGAACAAAATTTACCCCCGCTGATTTTTACTTAGCAATTGCCCAAACCATGAACCGACCGGTTTGCCCATGTAACAGGTAAACTAGTAGCTCCCAAACGACCAAAACAGTCTCAAAAAGTGAAATTCATCACCGTTACAGCATCAGCCCTTAAAAATGATGTTTTCACCACTGTCTCGACAGTGAGATTTGAAACTAGAATTTTCGCAAAATGATGTTTTCACCACTGCACTGGAATTTTCGATTCAGTTTCCTGTTTAAATACTAAAATACGGTTAACAATGGACGGAACTTATCGGTTTTCCTTATTGGGCTTCTTTAGTGAACATTTAATTCAATAGACCTTAATTTCGCACAAGTAGTTTTGAATGCAACTGATTACAGTAAGCCTTTTACAACAGTTATAAGGGAATAATAGGTCGCATAGGAATGAAGCAAAGGAGCGCATAGTTAGTCCCTGGCATTCTTGTTAATTTTTTGCGGACTCCTAAATAGCAATCGCCAGAATATCTATAAAGACCCTTGTTGGGCAAATATAATTGACACCCTTATGCTAGGGTTACCTCTGTTTTCAAACGTATGTCTGGTATTTATGAATAGTGATAGATTAACAGAGGGCTTTACCTTTCAGTTGTGGATGTTAAGCCTGCCATTCCAATCGTAATGGGAGCGAACATTGGAACATCAGTCACCAACACCATTGTCTCCTTGGCTGAAGCTGCCGAGCGAAATGAATTCCGTCGTGCCTTTGCTGGAGCCGTCGTGCACGATCTATTCAACTGGTTGTCTGTCATTGTGTTTTTGCCCCTGGAAGTAGCTTCCGGCTACTTGCGCCGACTAACTGGTGAGATCATTGACTCTCTCAGTCTCAAAACAGATGAAGGTGTCAACCAAAAGTTGTTGAAAGCAATAACGGAGCCATTTACCAAGCTTATTGTTCAGTTGGATAAAAAAATCATAACGAATATTGCCCTTGGAGACCAATCTGCTGAATCAAAGTCTCTAATCAAAAGTTGCAAGCCGAAAACTGTCATTGAGGTGGTCAATGAGACTGACTGGGTCGATCATGGTAATACAACTTATACAACTTATAAACTTGTGAACGAGTCGTCTACAACAGATCCTTCCTGCTTCCTTTTTGCAGACACTTCACTGAGTGACACAGAAGTTGGTGTCATAATCCTGGTGATAGCTATCTTTCTTCTTTGTGTCTGTCTTATACTAATCATCAGAATCCTTCACTCCATGCTTCGCGGTCAGTTGGCCAAGATTATCAAGAAGACCGTCAACGCAGACTTCCCAGGGCCGTTCAAGTATTTCACTGGTTACTTTGCCATCTTGGTTGGTGCTGGGTTAACAATGTTGGTTCAGTCCAGTTCCATCTTCACCTCTGCCCTTACACCTCTTATCGGTGTCGGAGTGGTGTCTCTTGACCGCGCCTTTCCACTCACTTTGGGTGCAAACATCGGAACAACTGTAACGGGCATTCTGGCAGCCCTGGCAAGTTCCTCAAACTTGGACAAAGCTCTCCAGATTGCCTTCTGCCATCTGTTCTTCAATATTTCTGGTATCATATTGTGGTATCCAGTCCCTTACGTTCGCAAATTGCCTATCAACACGGCAAAATTCCTGGGCAACAAAACTGCTGAGTACCGCTGGCTTGCCTTGGTTTACCTGATTTTTAATTTCTTCCTCCTTCCTGCAGCTATATTTGGCTTGTCATTGGCTGGTTGGCAAGTCCTGGTTGGTGTTGCCGTCCCAATTGTTCTCCTCTTGCTCTTCATCATCATTGTCAACATCCTTCAGAGGAAAGCCCCAGATGTTTTGCCAGAGGCTCTCCAAGATTGGAAATGGCTACCAAAATGGACACGATCATTGGAGCCTTATGATCGTGTGTTTCAAAAATTGGGTGGACTTAAACGATATTGCTGCTGCGGTAGAGATCGGGAGGACTAAAGTGAAAAAGAAAACTCCTGTGACAGCTACAAACTAAGGGGAAATTATTTGTGTCGGACACAGCTCACAAACACTAATGAAGGCAAAATGATCCTTTTCATCACTTTTAAAGTAGCGTGGGTCGAAATTATGTATATAATTTTAAAAGCTGTAAAGTTCACACTTTTAAAAGTGAATTTTGTTGAAATTTTTGTTACAATTGTTTCAGTCATCATTCTAGTTATCCATGGCTAGCTTTGGGCGTCCACTGGTCACGCGAATAAATCACACAAACGACTTTTAAATATAGATTAAATTCAAGATGTAGAGATCCCAAGATGTTCAGGCAATAGCCAATCAAGAAATAACGTTTAAGATAAAATAGTAGTAGCAATTGCTTAGTCTTCCTGGCGTTTTTACGACTCGGATTTGAAATGAGGCATGTATTATACGTATTGCCGATATAATCTCTAAACCCAGTAATTGTCTATTGTATTTTACTATGATAATGGTTGCTTAGTGAAGTAAGATACAGTAAATACCCGCAAATAAGAACCTACTTTTTTGAAGTCTGGAAAAATAGCTTCTTTTATTATATAGACACGAGTGTTTTACTGGAAAATATACCACTCGTAAAATTCATAAAAACTACATCCGAGTGGTTTATTTTCCATAATCTCACACGTGAGTTTATCGATGACGTAATTTCGGTAATTTCCCTCCAAAATGTGTAGGCGTCTTGCGTCCTTTGAATTTTAATTACACATTTTTCAAAGCTTTACTTACATATTTTGTCATTGAAGAGCCCTATTCAGCTCAGTGTTATTTCTCAAGATTATTGTAAACAATGTCTTATATTGCTGTACTGTAAATTTGAGCCGTCACAATTACTTTTTGCATTGGCGAATACAAATCTATTATTTTATCGATGTCTTTTTGTCTAGGTAATAAAAAGAACATTACACAGCGGCTTGAAGATATGAATTTTACTTTTGAGAGGCAAAAACAATATTTTACTCACTCGCTGCGCTCGTTAGTAAAATATTGATTTGCCACTCAAAAATAAAATTCATATCTTCGCGCCACCGTATAGTATCCTCTATGTATTTTTTATTATTAAAATTGCAAATTTCTGCGGGAGGTTGGTAAAACCACTTGGTCCTCATTTGCGGGTGTATTTTGGTGAGTATAGGTTCAGACATTTATGGCCCCACTTTATTTTGAAACATGCCTTAACTCTTAATTGTACTTAGTAGTTCTCGTCTCGTTGGAGAAATACAGCTCGTTAGATAACTGAACTACCCTTTATCCGGCATTTGTAGCTACAATGAAAACATCTTATACCCTCACTTTTAGATTTAGTTTTAATACATCGATAAAACACCTTTTTGAGTATTATGAGTCCATTGTTGCCCCAGGGGTGGGTAGGAGGTACTTCCTATTTTGGACTAAAGGGAGAGGCTCGGAGTAAGAGGTTTGTAAGGGGAGTGTGCTTTTACCAGCTGTGTTAAGCAAATTAAGAGCAAGATAAATTTCCAGTTGGTAGAAAAGGATTCTTTTGAAGATTATCGCAGAGATGCACCTTTAGACGTTCATTCCTGAATTTATTAATGAAGTCCAGTTCCCGGCCAAAAAATTTCTTCTTTCCGTATGTGCCTTGTTGTAGTCTTATTCGCTCAGAAGCCTTTCAAGCTAATCCAGCGAGGCTTGCGAGAGGATCACTTCCTCTATTATTTACGGGTAGTGTTTAAATTCTAACATCTTACGGAATTTCACATGAGCTTGCAAGTGTTCTGAGAGGGTTGTAGAAGGCCTAACTGTAATAAACGACCCTAAATGTAATAAAGTCCTAAATGTAATAACAACTTGCCCTAAATGTAATAAACTCTTAAGTTGCCAATTACAGTAATCAGACTCGAATAAGTGTCGCCCTCAAATAAGCGCCGCATTTAAGGGGGCAGTTAATTAGTATTCGTGTACTAAGCGGTATTACTATGGTATTAAGCACCGCGCTCATATAAGCGCCGCACATTAGGGGGGAGTTAATATTCGCCGCGGCGCTAATTCGCGTAAATTCGTTACATTTCCTAACACACTGTGAAACTTAACGTTTACAAATAAATTGCCTGTGAACGACAAAGTAACAGTCTTTTTTTAAAAAAGCAATATTTATTTCGAGACAGTGACGCAAACCCTCAACTTCGTCTGGGATTGCATAACTGTCAAGAATTCTGCCAACCTGTCGAGTGTTTGTATCAGGCTATGCACAGGAAAAAAGCTTTCTATTGCTTTTATAAAATAACTTTCCCGAGAAAAAAGAAAAACTCTTTGTTTAGGTTACTGATTAAAAGAGAAATTCTTACCAGTCGCGAAGTCTTGTGCACGAAGCATAATGTATGTACGATCAGCTCTTGTTTTGCAATAAAGATGCTTTCCAAAAAAGGGTTTTTCTCGCTTAAAATGTCAGCCTAAACGAAAAAAATTGACAGAGCATGTTCGTAAAGATTTTCCAAGTTTCATCTGACGAGGGAATGGGTAAATAAAGTAAATTTGTCGAGTTTTCAACTGTGTGATTAGCGCGCGAAGAGCAAAAGATCTTGACTCCACTCATGTTTACATACTCTCATGCAAACACATCTCTCGGCCAATCAGAGCGCGCGTATACTATCTTGGTTATTTATAAACGTTGTTATCAGCTGTATAGTAGTCTTTAAGGGCCCGTTTACATGGAGGTGGGGGACCCCAGATAGGTGAGATAAAATGCGGCGGGTCACCCCACCTATCACGTAACTGAGTGATCAAATTAAAATGAGAGATTATGTGGACAGGCGGATTACCCACAAAAGTGCGGGTTACCTCACCTACCTGGGGTCCCCGACCTCTATGTAAACAGGCCCTTAGACTTCTCGTTTTTTGTTCTTAATATTTTCGTTGCATGATTAGATCTCTTTTCTAGAGATCCAACGTTGACAAGCAACAGGATCTTCGTCCATGGTTTTTGCAGTAAATTTCCTTAACAAAAATGAAGTATGAAAAACTCTTTTTTTTTAATTTTGTCCCTTTACAAGCAGTTTATTTGTAAACGTCAAGTTACACAGAGCATAAGGAAATGTACCGAAGCTCAGTATTAAGTTTTTTCTCCACAAATGCGGCGCTTAAAACCATAGTAATACCTCTTAGTACCGTATTTACGCGAATAAGCGCAGCGGTGCTTATCAAATCCCCCAAATGCGGCCCTTATTTGAGTAATTACTGTAATTTGCAACTTAGGAGTTTATTACATTTAGGAAAAAATGTTATTACATTTAGGACTTTATTACATTTAGGACAAAATGTTATTGCATTTACGACTTTATTACATTTAGGGTCGTTTATTACATTTAGGCCTCTACAAATGCTGCACGAAAAGACTGCAATAACAACTCCTATGGTCTTTTTCGTCTAGTATACAAGGCGGGCTTATATAGAACAGCTAATCTCTTGCTTCAAAATGAAACTAACAGGTCCTTAGTTCTGTTAATGCTAAGGATGACTTGTCTATAGAGGAGCAGTCGATCATAATCTTAGCTGTCAAAGGGAGGTATAATTTAGAATTACTTCTGGCGAAAACTACGCTGGAATTATGACGTGACACAAGCCGATAAATAAAACTAGCCTTAAACGAGAGGGGCGTTGCGATTTTCGGTTTTACGGTTTTGGCCATTTTTCAGGTCGGTTTTTCGGTTTTTGCACTGAAAAACTTCGGTTTTTCGGTTTTGTTTTCCGTTGCGCTGTCCGGTTTTTCCGTTCTTTTAGCATCTGGTTTTTCGATTTCTGTGGGTTTCTGAGCAACTAGGTTACTTTATATGTTACTGTTTTACAGTCAATACAGGTTAAACTTCGATGTGGGTTTCTGGATTTTTGATGTAGGTTTACAGCTATAGGCTAGGAGAGTTTTTTGTGAATGCAAAATTTTCCCAAATGTCCTCTATTGCTATTCAATTGAGGATCTTTGTGCGTGAATCCGAGGCCAGATATGCCTGTTTTACGTCCATAGCATCCATAGATAGTGCTGATACTGTGATGATACTAATATCTAGAATGAGGATGTGATATTGTTTAGTCGGAAAAAATGAGGAACAAACCAGAGTTCGTTATAGTCTGTCGGCCGACTGTTGGTGGTCTGTCGGTGAACTGTCGGTCGACTATCTACCAACAGCCGGTCTCCAAAATGTAAATAAATCCAAGATAACCTTGGATTCTGAATTCTACTTAATCTAATTCCGGATTCTTTGTCAATAGAACTTGGATTCCACATTCCATCGTTACTGGAATTTCGGTCCTCTTGAGCTGTATCCTCTTGAGCTGTAATTTCCCGGATTGAAGAATCCGAATTCACTTACAATTGGCGAAATATAGCATCACAAACAGTAGAACCCCCTGCCGGTAACTCGAACTTTGAAGGGCCGGAAGAGTTATCGGGGTAAATTTCAGTCACATTTTGATCAAGGGAAAGGAAATTTAGTTCGAGTTAGCAGGAAATTCTACCCGAGTTCGAGTTATCGAGATTCAACTGTAGCCATCACTAGTTCTCTCTCTTGCTCGATTTATCCGTAGACTGCACGCCAATCCCTCAGTTCCAATTAACTCCATAAGTCAAATTCTTCTGAATTCTTCAGGCAAATTCTGGGTTTCTTCACCATTAGCTTTTTTATTATTTAGAACTTCTTCTTACTTTGTAAATTTTACGGCAAAAAACAATAAACTTGAAACTTGAAACTTGAAACTTTTCGTAACGTGTACGTTCTACGACAACACGGTGAGTTCCTTGTCAAATGAAGTGATATCACCAACACCCCTCTTTCGTATTTTAAGAAACCAAACAAGCGCAATAACGACGAGAAGCAACAGTAGCAGACATCCTAACACTACTCCCACAATGATTCTGGTATTATCCTTTGAGGCACCTTAGAACACAAAGGGTAGAAGATCAATCTCTGAATTTTATATTGTTAAGCAGAAAATGAAAAAAGTATAAAGCGAGAGTCAAATTTTGGTGCAATAGAATGGGTACCTATCATGGCCGGTGGTTGAGTAGAGAATGCATGATCGAAAGTGAGTAGAGATGAAAGGTTGGCAAGGCAACTACCGAGTTTTAACTCAACTGCTGTACTGTAGGAATGCATTGATCCGATTACTCCTTCTGGAGTGGGCATCAAGTTATTATTTTAGTATACGTTTCCTATACCGTGGGACCTAATGTGTTCTCTCCTTAAGTTGAAACTTCATTTCCTCTTACATTTTATGTAAGGTTAAAATTATAGTTGGTTTTGTACTGAGCAAATGAGGAGGGGGTTGTTACTAGATTTCAGAAATATCATTTCACGTAGCCCATGGAAAAGCTCAATGTGTTTAAAATTGTCAAGAAAGATATACCCTTTCCATTAGCTGATTTTAAATCCCAATCCATCGTATTTTTCTTAGGTTGGGGGATAAGCTTGATTTGTGCGAGACATTACAAGCAAAATCTTCGAGCCGGACACAGAGTGGCTAAAAAAATCTTCTGCACTCTCACAAACTTGATTTATGTGATCAGGTTTTGTGAGCAAGCGAGATCAAGCAAACAGTTAATTACCACTTAATAATTGCAGAGAAATCAGGCAATGCGACATTCATACCTTGAGTATCTGGTGCTGCTTGGGTCGGAGAGGACGGGGATGAGAGGGTGGAAGATGTCGTTGGAGCTGGTGAAATTGAAGGAAGGCCGTCCAGTGGCAATGATCCCGACGTTAACAAAACATTTATAGAAGGCTCACTCGAGGATGATGCTATAGCCACACTAGAATCACTTGAGTCTAACGGTGACGATGCGGGGGATGAATTAATTCCGTCAGAACGTGATGATGACGAGGTTGTTGATGATGGGGACGATGGAACGTTCGTGGCAGTTAAAGGAAATGGCGACGATAACAGTGACGCAGTAATAGTCAATGATGACGTCGATATGATTGTATTGCCAAAAGTGGTCAACAAAGGTGTTGACATCGTTTTTACAAGGGAAGGATTCGATAATGATGTAGACGCAGCTGTGAAAAAGGGCGGTTGAGATATCAACGCAGTTGAAGAAGTGGTGAAAGATGTTTCTGTCATGGACTGAATCGATGATAACACAGAAGCTATTGGATTAGAGGTCGACAATCGTGGCGACAGAGTTTTTGTCAGGAACGGAGAGGATAATAACGTGGCCACAGTAGGAGTAGACGTCTGTGAAGATGATGACAAAGTTGTTGCAGCAGAATTAGCTGATGATGATGTTGACGAGATTAGAATCGAGATCAATAAAGACGTTGATAAAATTGTAGGGGAAAAAGTCGACGCCGGTGAAGAGACACTTGGAGTGGAGGAAGAGGACATCGACGTAGATTTTGTCAGAGAAAGAGGTGGTGGCGTCGAAACAGCTGAGGCAGAACTAGTCGACAAAGATGATAATAACGTGGCCACAGTAGGAGTAAATGTCTGTGAAGATGATGACAAAGTTGTTGCAGCAGAATTAGCTGATGATGATGTTGACGAGGTTAGAATCGAGATCAATAAAGACTTTGATAAAATTGTAGGGGAAAAAGTCGACGCCGGTGAGGAGACACTTGGAGTGGAGGAAGAGGACATCGACGTAGATTTTGTCTGAGAAAGAGGTGGTGGCGTCAAAACAGCTGGGGCAGAACTAGTCGACAAAGATGATGACGCGGATCGACCTGAGATCAATAAAGACATAGTTGGAAAGGAGGTAGATGAAAATGTCGACACACTTGTGGTCATAGAAGGAGTGACAGTCAGGGGAAAGGTCCACAGTGATGTTGACACAGTTGTTGAAACGGAAGACGTTGACAATGAAGCTGACAAAGTTGCCCTGGTTGATAAAGGTGTTGACGTAGTTAATGTAATGGAAGGAGTCGACTCTAGAGTTGGAGAAGAGGTCAATGAAAATGTCGACTCGGCAGGTGGGAGAATAGGTGACGATGATGACGTCGGAGTAGAGGTCGATGCTGATAATGTTGTGTGAACGGAATATGTTGATGATGAAGTTGACGCGGGTTGACTTGAGGACAGTGAAGATACTGCCGCAATTGTTGGAAAAGAAGTCGGTGACGATGATGACACAGTTGGAGAAGAGACGGATGAAGAGGTCGCCGTAGTTGTTGTTATTGATGCAGATTGCGTTGTAAACACAGTTAGGATAGCAGCCGACAAAGATGGTGACACAGTTGTTGTAACGGAAGACGTAGATGATGATTCTGACAAAGCCGGAGTTGATAAATACGTTGACGCAGTTGTTGTTACGGACGGAGTCAATGTCACACTCTGAGTAAAGGTCGATGAATAAGTCCACAGGGTTGTTGGAACGGCAAAAGTCGAGGATGTAGTCGATATAACGGGAGTAGCAAAAAAAGATGATGGTGTTGTTTGCAAATTATCAGCTGAAACGAGATTTGAGTTTATCAAAGTCGCTACTGCTGATAGCGACGACGACGACGGCGGTGATGATGATGATGATGATGATGATGATGATGATGATGACCCGGTCTGTGTACTTTGGGTAAAATCTAAATGAAAAACAGAGTTTATACTAATTAAATATAAGGATGATCTTGACAGTTATAAACGTAACTTTTACAGTTGCGAAGAGAAAGCCTTAAGAAATCCAGCCTTGTACGGGATTTGAACTCTTAACCTCCGTGAAAGCGGTGCACTGCTCTAACAATTTAGCTAATAAGTCAACTGGGAGCTGGTGATTTTGTTGTCTCGTTTTAAAAGGAGTGAAATAAATGAATATATGAAAACCATAAGAGAACTGCAGGATGAAGATTTAATTGTTAAGGACGTTCATAGCAGTCATAAAAGCAACTTCTACAGGTGCGAAAAGAAGCTTGAAAAAATTCAAGCTTGTGCGGGTTCTATGCAGTTTGGGACCTCTTCACATGGCCCGGTTACCGGGACTAATTTCGTCTTGGGTTCATATAAGTAATTTCAGCCCCGTTTCCGAGATGATAAAAGGCCTCGAAGAGTTTCTGGCGCAAATTTCGAGAACCAAACCATGGCGAAACAGAAAGATATAACTTTCGCGCCAACCATAGCTTTGGCAACGCTTATAGCTGTATCACTGTAATTAAATTTGATACTTATGATGTGGAAAATACAGCAGGCAAAGCAAGACGATGCCATCCCGGTCACCGAATTCATCCCGCTTTCATCTCGGTAACTGGTATGAAGTGTTAATATGGCAAAATTCTCCAGTCCGCTTACCGAGATCCTGGTTGGAAAAACAGAGATATCGAAGAACGAACCAGCCCGCCCTCTCATATGAACAGATCGAAAATTTTACAAAGGATTTATGAGTAAGCGAGATCTCAGAAACCGGGCCAGCCCGGTCAACCGTGCTCAAGTTTTAGAGGCCCTTTATTGTACATTTGTGCATTTGTACATCTGTCAATAGTGCAGAAGCAGCCATTTGACTACGTGACTACGGTGATTCGCACTTTTAAAAGTCTCTATCAATTATAGTTATATGACTTACTTTGGTAACACCTGTTCTCCCACAAACATGCACTGGGGCAAAAAACCAAAGAAGAACTCGAGTAACTCCAACTAACGCTGCCGCTAAATGACATTGTAAGTGTCGATGGCGTCATATCGAAAGTTGCAGAGCTGTGGCTCATAACAGATGACCTGCTAGTGGAAGACGAAGTAGGAAACGAAAAGGTGGTGGTGAAAGCGGATAACGTAGTAGAATGAACTGATGACGTATCTGATGCCTCAGCCACCCTGACACTCGACGATAATGAAGGCACTGCGCAAAGGGAAAACACAACTTTAAAAAAAGGCAATTGAATGATTCTCATTCTAAACGAAATAAACATTTGACACCGACAAGAATACACTCTTTCATTTTTATAAAATTATATTAAGACCATTGAGGCTGAAATTTGCGACATTTTAAGAATATTTTCAGAATAAACCGTGGCTGAGATTTTGAAAAGGATATAATTTGGTGTGTTGAAAATCTGAATTTTTTGTTTTTAACTTTTTAAATATAATTTAATTAAGAATAATGGAAGAATATTTTCAGCCTAAAATCGGCGGAAAAGTAAAAATATTCAGCCTGTGCCGGAAAAACAACATTCTTAACTGATTAAGGAAAGGCTTGAAGAAAAATGAGTTAACTTTTAGAACATTCGAAAACATGGAGACACAAGCAAGTTCGCTGAAAGTTCTACATTTTTGTCCGTTCAGTCTTGGCTATCGTTCAAGAGTCAAGAACAACGTCTTAAGTTCACATTAGGGACTTTAAGATCCGGAGACAGCTTCAGCGGTGAAAACTTCGCATTTTTTCAATCTTCACCGCGATTATTCCAATTCACTTACTTTGTCATTTAATGTGGGCGAACTCTACTGGAGTTGAATTCCTGGGAACCATTCCATGAAAAGTGAAATCAGGCACTTTTATGTCTAAGCATGCAGTGACGGCGCATATTACTAAGACTGGGATCTTGGAGCGGGGAACAAACACGAGGAACGGGAAAATGAAAAATAGGAACAAAACCTAACTTGAACCCTAACCCTGTCATTAACTTAATTTCCAATTGTCTGTTTTGTTCCCACTTTTCATTTTCCCGTTCCCCATGTTCTTTCCCCGCTTCTCATTCCCCGTTTTAGTGGGGACGATGGGACGACGGCGACGGCAACGACAACGAAAGCGTCATTATAAAAATGACTTCGCGTTTTTTCAATCTTTGTAAATATCGTCGCTTGTTTACGCCCTCCATAAAACGTGAAATAAGGCATTTTCGCGTCGTAGTCGTGCAGTGACGCAAAGAAATGTAAAAAAAATAAAATGTGATTCACGTGCAGAGTTGTTGTTTCGCTTATCTAATCTATTCTATCGTCGGATCTAAGCTTCTCTATTAAGTGAACGACAAACACATGTCACTTACTCACCAGTGACAGAACTGCACCTGCACCAATAAGAGCAACTGGACAGCGGCGAGGTGGAGACTGTGTTTGAGCTGCTGGAGGTCATAGCTGGTGTAGCCTGCAAGCTGCTTATTGTGCTGACGGATTCCATGATGGATGAAACTGAGGTATTAACGCTGGCTAAGGATCAAAGATACACGAAACTCTTAGACAATTCGTGATGACAACATTAATAATGTAGACAATCGGACGGTTATAACATAAATGTTTACGATAAACGTTTATAAGAAGGTATTTCTGTCAAAGTAGAGAAAAGAGAATAAGATAGCTCACGTATCTCTTAATGAAGCTCGATGGCCAAGTGGTCAGCGCGCATGATTTCCTTAAATGGATTTAACATGCTAGTTCAACTTTATCCATCATAATTAGCTAGACGCTATTTTTCGTTTGAGCACTTTGATGGACTGTGTAAGAGATATCTTCCTGACATTGCATCAGGTACGTTTTAATGGTAACTGCAAAAGGTCACGGGTTCGATTCCCGGGGCCGGACCAATACTTAGGGTCTTAAAATAACTGAGAAATGAAGGTACTTCCTTTGCCCTGCGGGCGGCTGGACCTTCGCGTGGCTCGGATGACCACGTAAAATGGTTTTAATGGTAATTACTTAAAATTTTGAGGCCAGTGGATCCAATTCAACACTAGCAGTAAATGTATCAGTATTGGATCATGCAAGGAATATAGCCTGTCCCCTGTAATTTATCTCAGACTGCCTACGTTGTTATGCTCCTTGCTAGATTTATTGCTTAGTGTAGTTACCTATTTGGTGGTGTCATCTGAATAAAAAGCAAGGAAATCGATCAGTTAAATCTTACACCTCTGTAGGATCCTGTCTCTTTTCGTCATGTAAAATATATTTTTGACCGAATTCAGCATCTAATACGTCTGTGACGTCCGTAACTAGTAGATACAGCTGCATTATTACTGGCAACACTTCTGAATTACACCAGTATTAACACTGAAATGAAAGCAAACCTAAAATTTATCGCAATTTTCATCTCGACACTCCGCCTATCAATGCCAACCATGGAGACTCAGATTCCCATAGCATTACTGTTATACACTACTTTTAAGTTAAACACCGTTTATTCACGTTCGTTACGTACATACTTACTCTAAACCGAAAAAAACTAAGAGAATAAATTTAACACACGGTATATGTATACGCTGTAGTTATTTTTTTAACCCAGGTAATTTTTATTTTTCCTTTGTTTCAACTTCATTCGCATACATTACCATACCCAAAAACAAAAGAAAAACAAAAAACACCTGAGATGAAAATATAACTACAACATATACATGAAAATTCCGTAGGAGTCTATCATATCACTTGCATTCATTTCCGCACGCGGTCAGCACTAAACGCTACAATTACCTGGGGCGTCTCCCTCCCCGGCCATATAAGGGAATCTCGATTCCAGAATCCGGAAAATTTTTGTTTGTGGGATCCAGAATCAGGGACTTTGGAATCCGGGATACAGCTCAAGGAATCCGGAATTCAGTACCTGGGATCCAGAATTCGAGGGGTGGAATCCAGAATCCAAGACTGTCTTGGATTCCCTTTAAGGGAATATGTGTGTGTGTGTGTGTGTGGAATAAATGGGATGAGTCAACTGCGAACGAGAGTTTCAGATTGTGGAATTTGTTCACGATGCCTTATCATCATAAAGATGTTGTGTAGTGACTTGCGGATACAACGAAAACGTTTCGTCACTTTCCCCGAGAAAATGTTGATTTCATCATGGAATTGTCGTTTTGAAGAAAGCCACAGAGAAATGTATCAAAATGAAAACTGAAAAAGTGCGTTTAAGCTGACATTGTTTTCAGTCATTAAAGCTATTGTTTGTGTCGCTCTAATTGTCTCGGTGATATGGTTGCAAAAATATATGTAGTTATGGAGGCTTTGGGTATAACACAGCAATTTTCAAAAAGGCAAGCATGGCCTAGTTATTTGCAAGAATGGCCCGAGGAAATTAACAGAAGAGTTCCAAATTTAATTTTAAATTCAAATCTAGGTCAGTGCTGAACTCGAATTCGGGCCACTGGATCACAAGTGTGTGGCGTCCATCACTAGATATAGGCCACTGTACCCTCCTATAACTAAAAATTTGACTGAACTATTATTACCTACCTAAACTGCTGCTGCCGCTGGTGGTACTGGGGCTAATGGTGATGCTTCCATTTGCAATCGATGCGAATGAGGTAAAGATACATAATTTCGCTATGAAATATTTTCCAAGTTTGGCACTCATGGTCAAGAACAGCTATATGAGAAAATATAGTAACCATCACATTACTCCCCAACTGTTGAACACAATTACAAAATAAATAAGGCATACTTTTTAGTCACAAGCTAAAACTGTTTGCATTTCATCTTGAGGAAAACCTATGAAAGGTGCTCAAGTCTACAAGGCGAATTTTTCCCATAAAAATACCTTTGCGATCGCTTGATTCTCTGCAAAGCGAAAATGCCACCTTTCACTGACAATAAACAAGGTTGTCAAGTTTCAGCTCAGAAATCAAGCTTCATCACTGAGAAAATGAAATAAATAGAAACTTGCGCTTTCTTTAAAGACCACTAATTAAAATGCAAATCACAAGTTTCTTAAAAGGTAAAACTAAACACTGAAAAAAACTGCACGAATGCATTCAATACCACACCTACATATTATTTAAAGTAGGAATCAAGTCGGTGTGTTTCTTTGGACTTCAGTCTGAAAATTATTCCTTATTCTAAAATCTTGCGTGCGAAATAAGAACTTATTATTATTTTGCCTTCCTGCAGCTGTCCCAAAGCTTTAGAAAATCCAACCAGTTATCATACTTCACTGGACAGATGTTTGTTAACTTCCCTATTGAGCTTAAATAGTAGTGTGTTTTGTAAGATTTATTTTTCTACAGTTGATCTTTACCGGTCGTAATTGCCCGCCAATCGGGAAAATTCTTTGTTGTCGGCTGTGATCATGATGGGCAAGATATTTTGACTAACTCAAACAAATACTTGTTTTCTTGAAGCTATGGTAACTAAATTTGTAACGTAAATCGTTACTAATGCTACTGTAATTTTTTCTGCACAACTCGATTTTTCAATGAATCAGTTAATCGAGAGGTCAATTGGGTTAACCGTAATAAAAGGATTTTTACCTTCAGCCGTCAAAAGTGCAGATTAATATTAACCGTTAAAAAGTTTCAAGGTACTTCAAATCTCACTATTTCAGCTGATCTTCACGAGATTCTAGCTGGCTTCGGAAAAATATGAACCTCTAAACTGGAAAAACACGCAAGTACCCATGTTTTGAAAACCACTTTTTCTAGATATTACAAGACCTTACAACTTGCTTATATCTGAAAATATTTCGAAATTTTACCAGTTAGTATATATTCATAGACAAGTTAACATTTCCTTTCCTTGACGTTTGGACTAAATTTCCACTTAATAACCGTCAACCATCAAAAGCTGTAAAATTTAACCGTCAACCTTCAAAAGTGGAAAAAATTTACCGTCAACCTTCAAAAGTACCACCCCATTAAGACCCTGTCAATCGATTACTTCTTGCTGTCTACAATTTTGACCAAGAACATCACTACTGAAAATTGTGTTATCAAACCCTGCGTTTTACCTTAGAAAAAATTTCAGAAGAGGAAATAAAGCAAACAGACAAAAAAGGCCGAGTTACTACTGTAGTATTTAGCCTTTATTCTGTGTTTTAAAGTGGGCTATTAGGAAAGCACGTAATTCAACCAAAGTACGGACTCCATTTTCATTGAAACACACGTGACGTTCGCCTACCCAAAAATGTTTAGAGAGGTCAGTAGAAATTAGCGTAGAACTGGGAATGAGTGAGGGCTTTTTTTAAAATACCTCAATCACAGTCTGTCTCGTTTCCAGTAATTATTCATTTCTTCATCAGAGTGAAGATAATCGCATATAATATCGGACAAGAACAAATCTAACCTCAATGTTGGCTCCGACATTTCACGACAGCACCACTGGCTTCCCCACGAAATAACGTGTGACAACGAGCGCGGAAATATTGATGAGGCGTCACTGCGCAGATTAGAGTAGTGCTGCTGATTTGTGGAACATTTGCTTCAACCAATCAGACGCACTACCCAGATCTGGGAATTGAAGTGACGAGTCATAAGTATGGAATTTCTGCGCTCGTTCGTTAGATTTCATGCATTTCGAGTGGAAACCTGTGTTGGCGGAGCGAGATGTCGGCTGTTTTTCAGAAATTAAGTCCCGGGAGCTAAGTCAACTGAAGCAGGCTACATAAAAGCATTGTGGAGATATAAGGCCTAAAATGTTTTTGAGTTACCCGCAGAGTTAATCTTGGCTTAGTCTCACTGAGAAACTATTGGGAGCCTCATACATCATGACACGGATGACACGGATGTTGTCTGTCTGTGCTCAGGTCTAACTCGTGTTTAACTTCCATGAGCATGCAGTCGTCATAAAGTGGTCTGGGGGTACAACTAGTAAAGAATTGTCAAATAATAGATTATGGTTGTTCATCGAAGTAGATGTAATTTATAATAAGAGCTGGATTATTGATTACTAGTTTAGACTTTTTGAGATTTGCACTTGGGTAGCCAAAGCTCAAATAATACTTATGTTTTTTTTTTTTTGGAAAAATCGACAGGTATACATAGAGGGCAAAACAGAGGAAGACCTTAAAGAGCAAAAATCGACTAGAAAATCTCACGAAAGGCAACAACAGGAGATATGAAGGAACTTGGACTAACTTTCATTTGCTACTCTTTTTTATTATCAAGTATAACAATTCCGGTTTTTCGCAAACAAAATACAGTAAAGAATTTGTACTTCTTTGGCTTCACATCCTTATAGACAAGAGAAACATATTTGTTATTCACCGGCCTGGGTCGGTCCGTATTGGGAGAAACTATGCCCGAGGACGTGGGTACCGCCCGAGGCCTACGGCCTCGGCGGTACTCAGACCGGCGGTACTCAATCTGAGATTTAAAAGTTTCAGGAAAATTTTCCTTCACTCTCCAACCTATGTTTGTTGAAGGAGGACGCGTTTGTGTTGATGAAGCGCGCGATCGATTGTAAACCAAAACAAAACATTAAAGCATGATTTTTAGCTCGCATTTTCGAGTTCGCTATGATCGCTGAATTAAAGAAGTGAAGACGCATTTTTCACAGCCTTAGCCTCAATCTGAAGTAATATATTCACAAATTCCAAAGAGAGAAAGACATGTTTATTACTCTGTCTATTGTGCATACAGCTATTTCGAGAAAGGTTGTCGGAAAAAGTGCACGCGACAATCCCGAAAGTTATTGTGGGTGATTTTTAGGTCACTGTTCTTCAAAGAAAGTCAGAATAGAATGACACGAGAGGCCATGGACATATGTTTGCAAGTGCTAAAGGAAAGCAACAAAAGTAGGTTCGACAGCCACAAAGTCAGCAACAGTGTATTGATCATATCCCATATTACCTGTCGGGATTGTCGCGTGGACATTTTTTCCGACAACCTTTCTCGAAATAGCTGTATTCAAATTTCAAACACTTACTTGCCAGAATTTCTAAATATTTTACTTTACGTCGAGGCTATTAAACCCTGTATGAATGTGTCGTTAATGTTTATATTCAGCGGTAATTTTTAATTCGAAGCTGGACTATTTATATTATGGCACTTACTGCTCTCTTTTAGAATAACGGAAGGTTTTTGTGTCTTGTTAGACAATTCATAATCTGAGTGTCAAACAAGTATAAAGAATTGACGACCTTGATATTAAAAGCGCCAAGAAAAAATACAGCAAGGATTTTCTGCGGCTGAATCATTCAAAAATTGCTTTAAGATTAGTTCAATCGAGTGGAAAAGTGCGGGAAAAGTGATTCGTGTCGTTTATTTAAGATTGAAAGTTAAATGCAATAATTGACAACAACCTTTTCTGATAAGTAGAGAACTACCGAAGCTATATTCAATGAAAAACACCAGAATCTTGATTCATACAGCAAAAATGGAAAACAAAACTACAAACAGAGCAAAAATGTCCAATAAACGGTGCATAAAAGCAAGATTGCAGTACTTACAACGCGGTTATAAAGCTAGTGAAGCGACATCACCAGTCCCCTGTATTGCTTCAATTGTAGCGGTTTTCCAGGCTGACTTGCTTGATTCTCTCTTCAAATTTTTTGCCCGAATAATAAAATTCACGTTTCCCTAGCTAATGCTAATAATAGCTCAAGTTTTAAGAGAAAAATGGTTTGAAAATTACGGTTTTTGCTCATTCACAATCAACGAACAAACTTGTGAATAAAGCTGGCAACAATTCCACCCGGGTTAGCGGGCAAGATCGTAAAATATCGCCCGTTCTCGGAACCAGTCAGATAGCAGGATTTGAAGAGGATTCCGCCCGCTCGCAAGCTTGGAAAAAATAAAAAGGGTTAACTGTTTGTGTTTTCTTGTGATAAAGCATTATTTTCAAAAAAGTAGGTTTTGCGATGCAAGAAAAGTATTTTATTTTAATTTTTTTATTTTAAGATTTTAATTTCCATGCATGAAACTGTTAAGGTAATCAAGAGGTTTAGGGGCTGTTTATATAATAATAAGTTGTTTTCCAGGGCGAAGTTCGTACTGCATTAACGTGATTAGATCGAACAGCTCAGCCAAGTTCGCGCCAGAACAGTTAAGGTGACCCGAACCTATTTATATGCGCGTTGGTTATGTTTCTGATTTCCATGATTTTTGCATCCTTAATAAAGAATGGTCGAACTTTAAGAGAATGCTATTTATTTTCTATAGGTATAAAAACGTTCGAGATATCGGCATATGTTTAAAACCGCATTTCTACAAAAAATGTCAATAATTTCGAAACCCTAAGACAGATTTTTCTCTAACTTTGGCAAATAAGCCTCAGAGCTCTCTAGTTTTATATCTGCACGTTTAAAGTCAATCGTGACCGTAGAACTCGCTGCACAATTAGCTGGTCAAATTTAACCTTAAAAATGCAAAGCTAACACATTTGTGAAAGTTGACACACAAATAGAGGACTATTGACGACAGACTATCTCCTATCTGCAAGGGTATTCTTGCCCAAAGCTTCAGTTGCAACAAACTGTGTGATCAGAAACCTACGGCGAATACAGTTCGCAATATAAGAAGAACAACTGTATACTGAATGCGGGGCAAGATTAACTAACTTTTATTTATCAAAGTTGCTATGTATTTTCCCCTCTCTTTTCGCAAAAAATCTCAACAAAGCACGATATAACATCTACAGTAATCTCCTGCCAGTTTTTAGCACTGAAGGTTCCCGTCTTGAGAAGAAATAAAGCCACCAACTCCAGTACGTCAACTGATCCATTTTCAGCTGCAACGAAAACCCTTGTTTTAGGTAATTGATTCATTTTTGAAAGATTTGCCATCACAATCGCACGGGCATTTTGCCATTGGGGATAATAAAAAGAATAAGACGATTGTCATATTTTCTTTCATCTTTATCCCCAGGTGGCAAACTTCCCGTGCGAATGTGATGCCAAGTCTAAAAACCTTGAATAAATTACCAAATACAAGGGCTTGAAGTGAAGCTGAAAAATGGACGGTTAGAAGTGTTGGAGTTGGTGCCTTTATTTCTCCTCAAAACGGAAACCTGCGACGCTAAAAACTCTTGAGAGTTTTTCGTAGATAATATAATTTGCCTTGTAAAGATAGGTTTCGAAAATAGCGGAACAAATACAAAGTACGTTTGATAAATAACAATTATTTTATCTTTCCCCGCATTCAGCATAAAATTGTTCTTCTTCTATTGCGAACTGTATTCGCCGTATGATTTTGATTATTCAGTTTCTTGCAACTGAAGCTTTGGGCAAGAATACCCCTGCAGATAGGAGACAGTCCGCCGGCAGTTTTCCTCTATTCGTGCGTCAACTTTCACAAATGTGTTAGCGTTGCATTTTAAAGTTAAATTTGATCAGCTATTTGTGCAGCGAAGTTCTACGGTCACGATTGACTGTAAACTTGCTGATATAAAACTAGAGAGCTCTGAGGTTTATTTGCCGAGGTTAGAGAAAAACCTGTCCTAGGGTTTCGAAATTTTTGACATTTTTTTGTAAAAATGCGGCTTTAAACATATGCCGATATCTCAAACGTTTTCAAAAATCATGGAAAGTGGTTAAATCATGCCTGCCGAAAAACGCGATTCAAAAACAAATAACCTGGACGCGCATATAAATAGGTTCGGGCCACCTTAAAAATGCGCCACTCGCCCAAAACCTTCACGATTTAAACACGCTTTGCGATTTTTTGAAATAAATTTTTTGATTTTTTAAAAAAACCAGAAGGAAGTTTGTTTTCAGTTTACATAATACCAGAATGAAATTTCTTACCAGAAAGATAATTTTGTATGGATTGAAAAGCGGAATAAGCTCATTGCGGAATGACTTGTACAAGAACGAAATTTCGTCATTTAAACAAATACATGTACATGAAACGATGTGGAGATGGAAAAAGCTCGTTCGAGAATGATAGTCATTCGGGTATCATGTGAAAAGTTCCTTAATTAACATTTAAATCGGGAATTATCCCTTGTTTCTATGACAATAAACCAATAAACAAATGGGATAGCCACTACTTGGCTTTCTGATTATTGCTCCTGTTTTATCTCTACAACGTTGAATAATTTATGTCCAAAAGGAGTCGGTAAGATTATAAGAGAGTATTTCATTGGTCAATTTTTTTCGCGGTTATCACCCTAATGGCGTTTAATTTGTAATGTTAGGTTACCTTGGTTGTAGACCCTACTAATACAAATAAACAGCGAGAAGCCGTCCAGTCCGCTGGATGTACGTCATTAATTTATAACAAATCGCTTTTTTAAAGTATGCGCATCGTTTTTGTGAGCCTTGAAGTCTTAAGGAAGTTATTGACGCATCCTTTTCTTGCCGTCTAAAACTTAACTACCCTTTGGCCAGGTTTGTCATCAAACGTCCTTGTTTGCTCACGGCAGACAGAGTCCGTGTTGAAAGTCTTTTTTTCCGACGCCACGATAAATTGAAGGAAAGAGGCGATGGCAGATGATGGTCCAAACGTACCAGGTGTGTGTAAAATTAATATTTCTTTGCGTTTTCTTTCCTCTGCTCTTATAGATTTCCGTATTATTTAGACAAAGAATACTTTGGTGATTGTTAAGACTTACAAATCGTTATACATATTAACATTTAAGACTCCCTCGATGACTTGGAAATGAACAAAAACGTGGCTTCACTTAATGCATCCCGAATTTTACTTTTTTTGTTTAGCGCAACAAAAACGATGGCTTTTTCGATCTTCCTCCATCGTGCAAAAATGGCTGTTTATTTCCATGTCAATTATCTGCAGCAGCGGCAGCCAAGGTAGGTGTTGTTGAGGTTTTTTTTCTGACTCGACGTCAACATATACACTGCTTATCTTTGAAGTTTATACCGATTTAAAATATTACAGGGGCGAGCTGTTCTAGCAGGCTACCCCTTTGGATGGTAAACTGAATGACTCAAGTCACTACGATTAATTTCCTCCATATCCCTTACTACTGTGAATTAAGTTGTATTGGTACGCTAAACTGTCAAACAGAAATATTGAAGAGTTGATTACGCTTTGAATCTGATTGTAAATCACTTCAGTCTTAATCGATTCCTCTTAACTTAAACATAAACTTACTAGACCAGCTGCCCACCATTCGCTTTTGAATCTCTTGCTAGCTAAGCATACAAGCTCACTAATTGGAAACTCCCTCGGCCAGATATTATGTTAATATACAATGGTTTAAAAATGGGCTAGATCTAAAGGGTCGAACATAACGCCAAAAGTTAGGTGAACAAGTATACGAGTTAAGGTATATTCCTTTATTAAAATGACTAGTTATGAGAAAAAAGCTACCTGTATTCAGCTGCTAAAGGTGAATTCTGTTTAATTTTTCAATACTCGTTCGACGTAATGTTTATTAATTTAATGGAACTACGGGAATATCAGTATTTACAATGCTTTTTCTATCCTCTTCGTTTTTGATTGATTCTAAACTAGAAATATGAGTATTGTGGAATAATTTCAAATAATGATGAAAATGCAATCGTCAGCTGCAAGGTTAAGATTCGTTTAATTTCCGCGGGGAATTTAATAATCAGAGAGAAAAAAGAATTATTAGCTAAAGATCTACCAGTCGGATAGCTTCCTGTTGTTTTATTTCTAGTTATTAACAAAAAATGTTTTCTTAAAGAATGACTGTTTTTTTGTCCTTTGGTTCTAAAGGAGCAGAGTGGGATAACGACGTATTGGGCATGGGCAATGTTCTCGAATTTTTCTTAACTCTTTATTGCATGCGTGGGGAGTCATGGCAACATCAGACTTTGCCAAAACCTCCCCCAGAGACAATTACTAGTGGCTTTATTTCTGTTGGTAGTTGTTTTGGTAACATTGCAAGATTGTGGCTTTCAGATAACGGTGATCGAATTGTTATGTAAAATTAGCCAAAATTATCGATAAACTCAACCAGGCAATTTTACCAAACGTTGCCTCCCTTGTACGTAGGCGTCTAAAAATCGAAAAAATACAAAATAAGTCAGTATTACTCGCACGTAAACAAAACAGACTTTTAAGGGTTTATATTTTCTCTCTGGAAACATGCTGCATACATTCATCAAATAGTCATCGGATTGATTATAAGATCAAGCGGATGTTTTTAGAAGTTTTTTTGTTTGTTCTAAAGTTTTTGTTTCAAATGCTATTTCTCATTTGTATTTTATTTTATGACGCATTTTTAAATTTGTCACTTAATAAAATGACTTAACGCAGCCGATATATCCACCAAGGTCTTGATTTAGAAAAATACTTTATTAGAAGTATAGACTAATTACAGAAGCTTCGTCAATGAGAAATGTACCCTGTCGTTTCTTTCTAAAACTCATTTGAGGTATTATATTTTATTCATGTTGTCTAGAACTTCCAATATTCGGTCGTCTTCCTTTAGCTTGTGGCTTCTCAAATTTCTAGAGATTGACAATCGATCACAGGCTTTCTCAACTTTTTGCTAGTTTGGTATTCTCAGGATCTGAAAGACATTTTTCTACTCTAAAGTGGTCTTTTACGAATAAAAAGTTTAATAAATCATATTTCAGCATACAGAATGCGACCTCTAGTTTAAAAATAGGGTACGTTCCTTCTGGTCATCTAAAATCGGATTTTACGATCAAAACTTCGATTTTACGTTTCATTGAGAACTAAACCAATCTTAGATTGCAATCTGAACGATCCAACTTCGCACTCGGATCGTTCAGATTAGTATCTCAATCTTGTTTTTCAGATTTTTGTTCCATTTATCGAAACCACTCTTCGATCGCTTGAATGAGCTCGTTCATCAGGTGATCATGATGATCTAGGTCAGTTCGGGCAAACGTTTTTTATACCCGTCCGTTGTCCTATCGCCAGAACTTAAGATTGTTGTGTTTTAACGCAACAGGGGCATCCAACCGTCAATTTTTGGAAAATATCTGTTCGTAAGACGATTTGAGATCTAGAATTTTCGGAACATTTGTTGCAAAATTTCTTGCTTGCCTGCCTCTCCTAGGATTTTCGAACATCTAAAAATGGTATCATTTCCCATTTTTAACGGATTTTTACCCTAAAAAGGTCACCTAGAATATTTGGGAGCCTTTTCTTTGGCTGAAATTTTCTAAAAGGTAAGTTTTGATCCCTATAGTTTTCGGATCATTAGACTTTCAGCGACGAAATCCGAACAGATGAAAAATTTTAGGAGATAAAAATATGCCTATATCTACCGTTTAAATTCTAAAATACGTTAAACAATGCTATGTTTAGTGGTTTTGAGCTATATTCTCGTTGGGTGCCCCTGATGCAAGTTGCACAAAAACTCTAGATCGGCAAATAAACGAAAATGCTTGGAGGTTCTCTCGGTAAAATATTCAACGGGTGTTTAGGGCGCGCCGCGCCTCTCAGCATTTGAGGTTTCGTAGTTTTCTTCTGAATTTGTTTATTATAAATTCCAGGCAGATAATTTACGGTTAATGAGTCCGAACATGAACCTCTACTCGTTAAAAAGGAGCATTTCCTTCCATTTCTCTACGAGAAGACGCTTCTTAAAAGAAAACAAATCAAAAACGGTGCCAGGAAATTGCGAAAAATGGTGTAGCAACCAACTACTGTTTAGATCAGTCTTTTTCCACATTTTTGTTCCGAAAGTCCAATCGGAAAAGCTTTCTTCAGAGGATTTAAAGGTCACGTCTGTAGGTATTAACTGGCTGGTTTAGATCCGTGTCGTTTATTTTGTTTCGTCGTAATTTCCTTCTCCATACGTTAAGGGGAATAGGTACGAGCTTTCGGCGCACTGTTTTCTGTGATCGTGCGGTGGAACAAGCGTTAGTTATGATTGGCAGATAGTAGTCATGATCAAGGCAACTATAAACCAATCATAAGTAACTCTTGTCCACCTAAACGATCCCACAAATCATTGCGCCGAAAGCTGGTATACATTCCTCACATAGTTTCCGGAGAGGGGAGTTGATTGCCAAGCAACTTTCTTGGAATTTATCGTAATAGGCCACTCGGACAGCCAGACGGTCGTTTTGAAAGTTAAACAGGGTCTCCTCGAGTTTTCGCTAAAAACCTATCACTGCCGCCGTGCATACCAGGACAAATCTTAGCTACTGATTGCATGCAGTTAATTTTTGTCAGTCCTTTTTCGGTTAGAGTTCTTGAAAGCACAAGAAATAAACATGTGTGTTGCCTTGTAGTGGGTTCCTCACAGTATATGACGTATTCAACTATGGAGATTGTGAACGAAACACAGTCCATAAATTTGAGTGACATCTACATGGCCGCGACTTCAAGCAGTGAAACAAACCATGCGTCCTCAGTTCTTACCAGTGAAAACTCTGCATCGATCTCCTCCACATCTCCTCTTCCATCCAATTGCTACCGCGTATGTGTGTGTAACCATTCCACAGGCAAGTATCGTTAATGTTTGTACATCTTCTTACGATTTAAAGATAACTGTAACTGGAGGCAGAGGATATTTACTTCTCCACAGAAAGAGGAGGAGAATATCTGTAATTCTTGAAGGAAAAGTATGGAGATGAGTCTGGTGAATTCGAATGTGCATACTGGGGCTTAAGAGAAAAATGGACAAAAGGAATTTTGACGAGGGTGACTAGTTGCGTTCGCACAAAGCCTCGACTCCTCTTCCGCTTATGTTATTCTGCTCGACTAGAAAACCAACGAACTTCTGTGGACCTTTACTGAATATAATTAATGACATGTTGAGTGCAATTATTTGTATATTTGTAATCTACATACTTGCCCCTCCTTTATTTTTACAGTGTATTATTCGACATCGATGGATTACAACATGTCAGAAAGCTCTTCTTATGGAATCAACATGACACAGAGTTATAATATGACGCAGAGCCATAGTATGTCCAAAAGCTACAACATGTCTACTTCATCTGACGTAAGCATGAACCCAACACCTTCAAGCGTGAATATGTCGTACACAGCAAGTGTCAATTCCACAACAGCAAACTATAGCTCTTCCGTTTGGCCGACACCAAGTTCGTCTGTTTCCGAGCCTTTTGTTTGTTCGAATCAATCGTGCTGGTGGGAAGTTGAATGTAGGACGTGTAAGTATGTACCTAGCTTGCGAAAACCGCCGTCAGTTCTCGCCGTTAGGGACATTTTGCGTCATTAGAGAGATTAAGCATCGTGTTTACAGCAAACGGCAAACGTGAGATTCAAGTTGAAAAATTCTCAAAATATGTAACGAGCAGATAAAAACAGCGTAAAACAATTGTTATGGATAAAATTGGCGTAAATCTACCGATTTTCGTATAGTTATAATGAACAGTAAACGATAAGTAGACGGAAAACCTGGTCAAGTAGTGGTCCAAATTCACGTTTGGCGTTTGCCATAAACGCGATGCTTAATCTATCTATTTCCTGGAAAAGTTCATAGCAACAAAGAGCGAGGAGATACGGCTGTATTCGCCGGCTAGTATAAACCGATTACAAACGCCAAGTTTGTAATATTGGCGTCGCAAAACAATAAAACCATGGCCATATTGGTGTCCCAAAACAATAAAACCATGGCCATATTGGTGTCCCAAAACAATAAAACCATGGCCATATTGGTGTCCCAAAACAATAAAACCATGGCCATATTGGTGTCCCAAAACAATAAAACCATGGCCATATTGGTGTCCCAAAACAATAAAACCATGGCCATATTGGCGTCGCAAAACAATAAAACCATGGCCATATTGGCGTCGCAAAACAATAAAACCATGGCCATATTGGTGTCCCAAACAACTGCTCCCGCGGAAGTTACATTTTTCCTTACATTAGACCCTTCCTTCTTTTTTCAATAAATTTGCATAATTGCATGTCAGGTGAGTACAAAAAACCTTTATAGAAGTTGAATAATGCTCCAAATCCAGCGATCCACCTAAACGGCAGGGGAAAATGAGGAGTTGTAAACAATCTAGAAATGGCATCATTTCAATTGATAACCCTTTTTTAACCGACCTCCTTACTGAAAGATATTAAAATGTCTCTTGTGAATTAAACTGAGAAAAGGCGGTTACTATTATTTTTTATATTTCCAGATGCTCCTCATATAGCCTCAACGATTTCACACAGCATCACGCCTTCCCCTTCATCAGTCCTAGAATCTTCTTCATCAGCCGTAACAACCGAGTCTCCATGTCAGGAATTCGACTGCAACGGTGAGTTAACAATTTTCTTCCCTGTGAAATCCACATTTGGAAGATGCGAGCAATATAACATCGATTCGATGATAGATTTGCTTGGAAACGAGGTCTATCGAGGGAATATTTGCCTGAAAATGAGACCGCTCGGGTAATAGTGAACTAAAAAATGGCGTTCACAGCTATCCAAAGTTGAAAATGCTGAATTTCTGACTAAAACTTAACGAAAGAAACGTAAGAATACGCAAATCATATAGCTCGATGAATGTTATCTACTTTTTGAGGAGTGCCTGAAAGAATAGGAATAGAGTAAAGTTTAGAAAACTGATTAAAGTCTACGAGGAGGTAGCTTGTTAAGAACATAGAAATATTTTGAATGGATGATGCTAATCTCAGAGGATGTTATCCACATTGGCCTCCGTCCTTGGTGGATAATATTCTACGGATCTGCTTAATTCTTCACATCATACTCAGCCTCAATAATTCGTAAAAAGAACATCCAATCGATGATCTATTGCCCACATCATCTAAATATGGTTAGCCCCGGATGTTATGAAGAATTAGACAGGGGGATATAATCCAATTATAAACCGCGAAAAATCATGAAAGAATGATAGATAACTATTCTGACTGCCATCATACTTTTTAATTTCAAACAAGGTGACTGCCGTGGAGGAGCATATCTGGATTGCGAGGTCTGCATTGAGGTGAGATGTAATTTGGGTTAAATAACAATTATTCACCGAATTGGAGGTGAGCCGCGAAGCGGCGAGGTAAATACCCATGCACCACTAGCCACTGACACTGAGGTGAATAATTGTTTTAAAACATACTAAAACAGTGAGATAATTGAGCACGAAAATGATGATTTTTAACTCATTTGTTGTTGCCAACGATTACAATTTTTTCGCGCCGAACGAACGGCCGACCGAACGGCCGCGGTGGTCACTTTTTCTTGCCGGCCGACAAATAAAACTTTAGAAGGCATTTGTTTAGCTCTTGCGGGGAAATTTTTTCAGAATTAGTTGTGAATTCTTTTTGTATCTAAAATCATTCTCAAGAAAGATTATTAAATTCAGTTTTAAGCTTACTTTTAACATGAACAAGTCAACTAAATAAAGTAACGCAAGAATTAAGCCTAATTTGCATTTGTAAATAAAGAACTTTTTCACCGGTTTCAACGGTAAATTCAAGTCAAAAAGACAAAGCTTTACCCGTTAAAACTTCCAAACCGAACTTCGTCACCTTTTTCGTGTATTTCGAGAACAGCTTGCTGGATTATTTGTGAAATTTCTTTGTTTGTTACGGCAGCAAACCGGGAAGCCATTTTGCTCGCAACTTAAAACGCGAGTTTGGCGTCGCTCGCACGGAGGACTGAACTGGAGGTGGATCAGTGAATAGCAATGGCTATTCACTGATTGAGTAGCCATGTTTTAGTGTGTACTAAAAACGTATATACGTGGCGTAACAAAATTAATCTAATCGTTAACCTTTTGAGTTAGCTTTTCTGCTAACATCTGCAAGCTAGCAAATTGAATAAGTCAACTTTACTACATCCCAGCCCACTCTATTTTTCTGTTACTTCTTCTTCCCTTCTCAATGTTGAGTCCCGCAATACTTGAACTAATCCAGGCGTGATAGATAGATCACCCTATGTAAGGTAGTCAGAATTCCGGAATCCGGGAAATTTCTGCTAATGAAATCCGGAATCCCTGGCTTGGAATCCATGATGTCAGCTCAAGGAATCCAGAATTCCGCTAACGAATGAAATCCGGAATCCAAAGCTTGGAATCCAGAATCCAAGACTACTTTTGTATCGTCTTTCATGGGGCAAGATAGATTTCTTTTACGTACCAAATAGTTCATGGTTAATTGTAAGGCTAATACCTAGTTTTATTTCTTCTTAAGGGTAATACTGGTGTTTCTTCATTACGAGACTGCAACGGCATCTGTAATGGGACCGCTCAAAATGCCACATGCGGAGTCTGCCTCATGCCAGGGGCTGTGAACCCTGCCTTGGATTGTAACAACGACTGTCGCGGAACCGCAACTGAAGATGAATGCGGTGTTTGCACTGGGGGAAGTACCGGTCTAATGGCTAACCACCTAAAGGATGCCTGTGGTAGGCGTCCCAAAGTTTTTTTTGACCAATGTTATTTTTATTAAGGCTAGCTTTAGACAATGTAACTTATTATGCTGAAAATGATATATCTGAGAGTGCGCAAGACTCATTCCTCGTCTCCCATTTTCAAAATGAGAATGCCAATATCGTATTCAACATTGCATGAAACGTTGGAAAGGAGGAGTGCGTTTATAAAAACCTTTTATTTGTGAGAATTTTACCACCGAGGCGCACTGAATTTCATATATCGAGAGGGCACTTCCTAGGTCTAAGATAGGGAACGGTTTTGTGTTGAATTGGGTGTGGATCGTAGAAGACGCAACCTCTGCCTTTATTCTGTCGTGTTTTGAAAAGCCGGCTTTGATTACTTTGAATTCCTGAATGTAAATGATAGCATTGGGTTCGGGGTTGCTGTGGACATGTATTAGAGTTTGCTTTATACTGCAGCATGTGGCAATGAATATTGGGACAGGCCATACAGGCTATGCAAAAGGGAACAGGAAATCGCATAATTGAGTCTAAAGTGTGTACGCAAAACCATGGAAATCATGAAACGTGGAGCATAAAATTATTGAATGATTTTATATGGCCGAAAAGCCATTAAGTTTTCCATCACTGAATTCGACAACTCGGACGTTGGTCGGAAAATCAGCAGGGCACTAAAGAATCTCCTCAGGAGTTTGGTAAACTTTATCTCTCTATCAAAAGTCGTTCGCGCTTCCGAATGATATGTGTCGCAGCCACCAGACTGATAGTCCAAAATGAATCAGTGTACTTGTCATAAAATAGTGTAAAAAGGTTCAATAGGAACATTTTTTAACGGGTTCCCCTGTAGCCCAGATCTTGGAGACATTCGACGGAATATTCCAATAAATCTTCTTTAGCATTACTTTTTCGTGATTTCATTTGATTTTGGTATCTAAGGAAAATCGAAGAACATGGATTTGTCCTAAGTCCCTTGCCAGAGGTAGATTTTTTCAACGAAAAGTAATCTTTATATAAGTGATGTCACTGGTGCATTGTAATCAATGATTACTGTACATAACTACCTGCTGTTCCTGCGCCTATTTCTTGAATACTTATTGATGTTTTAGGTGTATGCAATGGAACTAATACGACGTGCGCGGGGTGTGATGGCATACCACACAGTGGTAAGGAATTCGATGCATGCCGTGTGTGCGATGGCAATGGCTCAACTTGCACCGACATCATGAAAACTGAACCGAAAACCATCTCAAGCTGCCATCCTAATGTTTTGGTATTTGGTGCTGGTCTTAATACTGGTGATCACACATTATGCGCGTTATACAACGACACTAGCGGGGAAATGGTCGTCAACACCACAGGTAATACAAACCCTTGACATAAGCTTATCAATGCAGACATTGCGAAAAGCGACTTGCTTTGTTAAGTAGGTTGATAAGATGAACACAGAGTGGTCAATGAATTTAAAAAAAAGATAAATCAAGTGCTGAGCCTGTTTCACTAGCTGTAATTCACTGTGTTCACCATTGACAAAGTTGCATAACAATAGGGATTAAGAATCACGTTTACGGCAAACGACCGACTCAAGCTGACAATTTCTCAAAATAGAAAATGAGGAGATAAAAACGGTCTAAAAAATTCTTATGAATGAAAATTGCGTGAAACTAATTTTTTTTGTAAGGTGTTGTGAAGTATTTTGAAAGTTATTTTTAATACGGATTTATCTTATATTTTAAGTTTAGTTTTTGTCTCATTAAGTCTTGATTTTGTCCACGTACTGTTTTCCTGTTTTGATCTTTTGTTTTCACTTGTACTTGAATTTATGCTTAGTTCACGAATTTACTTATTGCCATATTAGGAATGTTATTCGCTTAGCACTGCCAGATGTTAGTTTTTTACAGGTGGTCGTGTTTGTGATGTTAGAGCTGACCTTCGTTCTTTGGTACTTATCAGTTGCGGCTGTGTGTAGGCTAGTCTATTCCCTAAGAATAGCAAACCTTTTGCAATGTTAGCGATAACATATACAACAGAAACTCCTCCGGTCAGCTAACCCAAACATGTCTAGCTTTGGCTTTTCAAACCGCTACTATACTTGAACTAGTGGGAGAAGTAGAGTAGAAGAAGGAGAACTAGAGTAAGTAGAAGTTGTAAGAAGATTAAGAAGAATAAAGGCCAAGATGTAAATCAGATTCCTAATACCTCATCGTGTAGCGAGCGAGTTGCTCGAACACGCGCCTCCACATATTTTGGTGGAGAACCCGGGCAACGATCCCGGTACCTCTCGCAAAAAGGACAAAAAAAGACAAGTAAGGTGAAAACTTGGTCACGTGGCACAATTAACTATTGCCATTCACCGTACAGGTGACTCCCTATTCAGTGTCTATTGCCTTCGAAACCTGAAAACGCGCTCAAACAAATGCAGCAAAAGGTTAAAGGCCCTTAAAATATTACCACCCTGACCACATTCAGATCCTAGACGGACAAATGAAAAATGGAAGCAGAAAATTATTTCAGCACATGTTCACATCTGTGAAAAACTACATTAGTGTTTGTCGATCAGACAGCATTGAGAAATCTTGCTGTTGTATAGTAGCTGTTGCATTTCTTACACGAAATATCGCCAAGATAGCTACAAGACCTTCAGAACGAGCATACACTCTCCCATTCCTGGAACAACATAACACAAACTAGGAAGAATAAATCCAAATAAATTCTTGATCCGTCTGCAGATCGTCTTAGATAGTAGAACTTCAGAACGGGTATACACTCCCTCCTTCCTAGAACAACACAACGCAAACTAGTTCAAAAAAGGAAGAACCGATCCAAATAAACACTTAGCCTGTCAGCCAATCGTAGATCTGTATACTAAGTAAAATCACCAGTCAAATGAATTCTTGCAGTCTACATAAAGTGCATCTAAATAAGCTTTATTTTAACCCTTTGACTCTCAAGATAGTAACTCTCCTTTCTGGCTGCTATACAATTTATTGTACATTGGTTAAGAGAATTTGGGTTTATATCAATGGCGCTTCCTCGAGCTGATGCAATTGCTTATTCTCATCATCTTTCTGCTAATTAAATGCTGATCAAATTGCTTCTGGGAGTTAAAGGGTTAAGCTGCGGTTTCAACATGTGACATTAAAGAAGTTTCATTTCTGTTTCAGCAACTTCAACAAATCTCACGCATGCGCAGTGCGAGTTTCAACCATGGGCTGATTATATTCCTGGCAGGTATAACCTATCTGTTATAATAACACAGAGTGGTCAAGCAGACGTTAAAACCAACACATCTCTTCAGATTTATTACTACAATTGTACAGATCTCTCGCTAACGAGTGTCGTACCAAATGAAGTTCTTCTGGATGAACTTCCTCGATACGTCACTCTAGAAGGCAGCGGTTTCTTCGACTGGGAAGAGACAGTGTGTTATTCTGGTCCCCACGTGACCACTGATGTGGTCTTTGTAGACACGTCGCACCTTCACTGTAAGGTAGGTGGACTTGCAGCTATCGGACAGTTTGTTTGTTAATTTATTCAATTTTATTGCTGGCGGCAAGAGGAACCAGCAATCACTCTCGTCGCCATGCAGAGCCGTCAGACCTTATCTCCAAGTTGCTATGCATGCACGGCACATATGTAGACCGCTTTGTTTGGACTCCCACTAAGAATGAATGGAATGGACAGAATGAACAAACGCAATCTGATGAAGCGCATTTGGACTTTCTATCATTCGTAATCTGATCATTCGTGTTTTGACTATCTACCACCTGAAAGTTACGCAAAGTTCAGCGTTAGAGCAAAGCGTTTCGAAATTCGATAATTGACGCCCGCACACCGTAATATTTGGTTATCATTCGTTCGACTTTGTTTTTTGATCCAATCGAAGTTACTACAAAAAACTACCCATTTATAGGTTTAGAGGTTTTAGAACTCTCTATGATCTTCTATTAATGGTAATATAAATTAATTTAGCAGGGGCACCAAACGAACGTTTTCTGTAAAATATCTGTTCCGAGAAGCGAATATTGCCTAGAATTTTCTATTACTTGAGGACGGCTAAACATTTCTAGATGAAAGTTCCATTCATGTACGCTTTTTGAAGCTTATCTCTAAAATTCCCTACAAATTTTCTTAAGTTTAATTTTCACCTTTTACTTCCCGAGCTACGCTATTTTTCGTAGAAAAAAGGGAATCTAAAATGTTTGGATTAAGAAATGTGATAGCTTTAGGAATCAGTTCGTAATACGTCAAATTCAAGAGAGGATAAAGGGGACAGAGACTGCCGGCATCCCCCATACACACCCTATTCCATAGGTAATTCGTCTCGAGTATTTTTAGAATCGGGATGAAGTTACCTAGCGCGCTGCGTGGACGTTTCGTGGAGGTTTCACATGACTAAACGCCGTGCAAAACATGTCGGGGGAAAGGCAATGAAAGCGTAAAGCGATCGAGAGGATTCCTGAATATTGACGCGAAATGAGTCGGTGCTTACCTGGGAAAAGGGAATCGCTGGACTCTTTGACAACCCGTGAAATCAGTTTAACTCGAAGTTGTCGTAAAACGTAATCTCAGTGCTTTAATATAATGAGAAATTTCGCCGGTCTATTGAAACCGGTCGTTTGTACAATAAAGCAAGTATTATTTTTGTTGAATAAAAGACTAATAAGAGAATAATTATCAAACCAAAAATTGCTCTCTTCAAACTGTAAATTATAAATGATCCTGAGAGAATATTCAGTGCGTTAAGGATTTCCCTGTTGCACTCTTCGCCCTATACGACAGAGGAAGGGCGATTCTTTTTTAATTTCCGTTTCGCTGACACAGCTTTAGCAGAAATCTCTCTGTAGTCGTTTTTGTCGACAAAAAGAATGGCAATATCGCTCTCTGCGTCTTCCGCCATTTTGTTCTGCGCCAATTCGTGAAGGACGCGTGGCTCTGAGCGTGGATCATCCACCGGAACACATTCGCGCTATGTGATTGGCTGTTGTCTAATCCCCCTTGGGATCTGTGGTCTTAAAAATGACTCGAGACGAATTACCTATGGAATAGGGTGTGTATGGGGGATGCCTTCTCTGTCCCCTTTATCCTCTCTTGGTCAAATTTCATATAAATTTTCGGAAAAATAATGCTCACGACAAGCCGTTGTAATTTCGGAAAGACTCAAGTTCCCCTAGGATGACCGAACAGATACAAATTTTATAGCGCCGCTTATAATACATTTCTAGATCTTTAAAAGTACTCTGGATAGCCTAAAAAGTGTTTTCAATGTATTTCAGGAGGAAACCATCGGTGGGCGCCCCTTATTTAGTGGGTTAACGAAAACACAGTAATGGAAATGGGACTGTAGACTGTTCCATGAAGGTCAAGGACCATGATTATAATGATGATCATGATGATGATGATGAAGCCGGTGTTGAATTGGGGATGTTTAAAGGCATCAAGAAAAAACAATGAAAGAGAAAACGGAGGTGTCAATATCAGTCGCTAGTTGCTTAACAACATTAATACCGCGACAGATGAAAACTACTCAAAGATGTCTAACAAATTCTGATCTATGGAGTGAATTCTTAAAATAAAACATTTTTCCCTTAGATCTCCTCTGTTGATGATTCCACCCAATTGGAACTCTCACTGTCGATGGATGGTGGACTGAAACAGGTTGGCAATGTCAATTTCACTGTGTACGACAGCGCACCTTACGTGACTGCAACAAGGTTTAGCGATACGGCCGACGAGATTGAGGTTTACTTTGACAAAGAAGTCGAGTTTGCCGTTCAAGAAACCTGCGATAATTTTCTCGAAAGTGCGACTGTTTCTAAGTTAGGACAAGATCCTATTTGCGATGTGCCCACAACGTTAGAATTGGTGATACGTTTGGGAATTGGTGCGAACATCACGGTCGGCGACAGCTTGAAATTTAAGAGCAACATCTTCAAAGCTTTGGGTCAAAGCTTCGGACGATTTCTCAATGGTTCGTTTTTAATTGCTCCGCCATCGATTCCATTGATACCCGTGGCTGAGGTGACAGGTAAGCAGTTATATCTGTGAGGTTTTTTTTAAAAAAATTCAAAATATCACCAATTATTGGTGTCTGCAAAATGGCGCCTTACAAAGGAGGAAGGGGTGGATGCTACCTCCCCAAAGATCCTATTAATTTGTGTATTATGATAATTGTTATGATTTTTTCTGCCGTCGGATGCTTCGACTTTCATCAACCATTCCGTGTATGTGACATTCTCTCTTTTGTTTCGGCTTTGTAAGTGGAGAATAAAATTGACTAAACTAAAACTAAGCTTACACTCACCTGTAACATCCTAGATTTTCCAGATCACCCTGAAAGGTTCCTAAAGGTGTTTATTAAGAATTTCTCGAATGGTTTTCAAATTTTCTAAGGGGAAAAAGTGCTTGCTGCTGGCTTAAATGGGTGTGGTCCCGGCTCCCAGCTTTTGCCCCACCATTTATGAGAGAAACACGATTGTATCTAAAATATAAGACTAGGAAGAGTATACTCCCCTATTTATGTCAGGTCTGTGTTATGAGATAAAACAGTGACAAAAGCAGGAAAGCGTTTAATTTTAAAAGTTCAGGTGCAACGGAAAGATACTTCACGGCATCCACATCTCACGGTCTGGGTTAACTTTGGGCATAATCTAAGATGATAAAAGTAAAAATATCATTAACACTTTGCATGTATCTTCTAACTAAACTGTTTGTGACTTTGATTGTTAACTTCCTCTTTTTTGAAGGCCCTGACAAGATTTCGTCTTGTGGAAATCTTACTCTTTCTGGTTTCCAGTCTTTTGGAGGTGGTGGTCGCCAAATGAATTTCGATTGGTCCTTGGTTTCACCAACTTCAGGAAATGACGCAACCGATATCAATAACATTCTAAATGCACTTAGTCCAAACGATGATCGGATACACATTCCAGGCACGATATTAACAGCTGACAAGACTTACGAATTTAGTCTTGGTGTGGCTAATTTCCTGGATCCGGCGAACTTCCAAACTGTCAGGCATTCAGTGGTAAAGGCTGCTGAACCCGTTCCAGAATTAACGCTGAGCTCATCTGTTGATCTTGATCAAACCCCAGCTGTAGTTTATGTTTCTGAAGACGTTTACATAAAAGCCCAGGCTGTTGTAAGTGTCTTTAGTTATATTATCATAATTATAATTATCATCGTTCCTATCATATTACTACCCCTTGTATAATTGCAATTAGTGCAATTGAAAGTAAAAAAAAAACTTCGGGACTTCAACGGGATTAGAACCCGTGGTCTCTGCGTTATCGCTGCAGTGCTCTACCATCTGAGCCATACATTGGGAGCGGGGCAATTAGGTTAGTTCTTAAATTGCAGTTGATCATAAATTGCGATGATCATATCTTAATTTAAAATCATTCTGTTTTTGTTTTCTTCTTTGTCTGTTTTAATGTTTTTTTGTTCAAAACCTCCTAATCTTGGCCTATTTTTCTATTTGTTTCCGCCGGTAGCTTTACTGTTATTTCTCGTTCTCGTTTGGTGTTTTTATCTTTACCTTATTTCTCTTTTACCCCTGCTAAAAAGCCCCCAGTTTTCCTTGAGCCCATCTAGGATTCACATTTTCTGTGGTTATTTCCAGTAATTGTTTCCATCTTCATTTCACATATTAAAATGACAGGGACCTCGGGCCCAGGGCGGGGGGGGAGGTACTCCGGATTCAAAGTGACGGGGATGATCGAAGGATTTTGGGGGCTTTGAAATTTTCGATTCCAGGATTTTTTGGGGGGAGGAATATTTAGCAAGTATTTTTTCGGGTGGCATGATTTAAGTAGGGTTTTTGGAGTGTTCAAAACAATCTGAAGATTCGTGGTTGTGCCCGCGTATCCAGCCGCGAATACAAACATTCAATTTCGAATTTATTTTTCGTGTTATTTCATTTAATGCTTCATGGAAAAATTTGACACGAAAAAATTGTCATGGGATTTTTTAGGGGTTAACTTTTTGGTCCAGGGATATTTTTAGGTTTTAGTTTAAAGCCCTAGGGATTCTTTTGGGATTTGATTATTGCACCCATTCGATCATCCCCGTCACTTAAAATCCGAAGTATTCCCACTGGGATCCCAATAAAGTTTCATCGGCGTTAATGTATTCCACCGCAAGTTAACGAGATTCACTTCAAAAAAGGGAATTAATTTGGTGCACCCTATAGTACTGAGGCCCAATCCCTTAACCTTTTATTACCATTTTTGACGGAAATGGTACACCTGTCACATGTCTAGTTTAAAACTTTGCATCCATTTTAAATGCTGTAAACATGAATAACTCACAAAACTAGAAACAGATGTAAAATCATTCTGTAGCCCTTTCAGGTCAATTTACAGACCAAAATAACTGACATCCCAACCTTCTCATATACTTCAACTAGTAAAATACTCTACCCATTCATACCTGAAGCCAGAAAAGGTATCCCTTTCGGGCGGACCCTCACCGTATAGGCCATTTTTTTTTCATCTAATGAAATTACAAAGTTTTTTAAATGACGTTCTCGTAAACGGAGAGCTCTACTCGAGGCCACTAAAACCCTTTTTAACTCACCACTTGCAAAAATCATTTCTTTTTTAATTCAACAATTTCTGTAATTCAGGTTGCTCCTTGTGCAAACGACACTAAAATCAACTTCTTGTGGACCGTAACATGCTCTGATGCAACCGCACAACGAAATGTGGAGGAGAGCTCCTCCTTTCAGTTCACTAAAGAAAAGGCCACTGTCAGCATAACTAAAGGCGTATTGACTGCTGACGTCACTTGCACTTTTAACTTGACTGGAAGTATGAACTACAATCCGAGTATCAAGAGTTCAATCGCCGTGGACATCAAAGCACTGCCCACTCCTCTTGAGACAGCTATAAGTGGAGGTAGGGTAAAACTTAAAAGAGATTTGATTGAAGAAAGCCTACCAAACTAGAAAAGGTGTTCATCCCAATCAAAAGGATTGTTCAAAAGCCGATAGGCTCGCTAATATACTTCACACTGAACCGTTCAATAAGATGCGTTTACATACTCGGATATGAAGAGAATATTACTGACTACCCCAAGATAACCAATCAAACTGACTCTATCCTACCATGAAATTGTCTTGGTAGTAATAAAGAGCTTAAGATGTCACGAGCGCCACAAAACAACAGTTCTGCATGTGCATCACACTGTTTTATGTCTTATTTTCTTCCCCGTACGAGAACGACTTGACTTTCCTAAATGTCATGTTTACGCTTACCTGATACCTTAATATAAGTGGTACCTCAAGTGCAAGAGAGATAAACGTTAAACTGAAGGTAATTTAAACCCATCGGCTGCCAAAAAGTGGTTTTACGTATCTGCAGTTTAACCGGAAAACATCACTTGCACGTGAGACATCCTTGAAGGTATCCGGTTACCTTAATGGACGACTGATTTAATTTTTTCATGTCCTCTTAAACTTGGATATAGTCCTTGAAAATGCGACCCTAATAGAAACCGATGGCATTTGAAAAGAAAATAGTAAAAATAGTCACGATGTAGTGTTCAAAAAAAGCGCAGATTCACTTTTTCCTGTTATCTTAAAGCCCCTGATGTTTCTAACAGTATAGCCAGTTGAGGCAGACAGAAAGCGAAACATACTGCACTGAACAATGTTTGTTACAACCAAAATTCACCAGACGGTCGGGGAAAAAAAGAAAAATTGCAGTAGGAGTCCGCGAGAAGAGAGGTGTGGAGGCGGGAGAGGAAAAGGCAGGAGTTGACAGTTCTAAAAGGCTGGCAAGCGGGAGAATAGTGGGAAATTATGCAACAATACCGAATATTTCGTAATCGAAAGAGGGATATGGGGAGGAAATTAAGACAAAAAGAGGCGAAAGCCAGGAATGTAGGGACCAATTTCTCAGTTGAGTGCGGTTTCCCGACACGATTCATCTTTATACTGCATGGATTATCATGTGACGACCATGCAAGTTCTCTAAACCGGCTTAAAGTGGGAGCCTCGTGTAAACGACCACTTCTCGTAAACTGACGGTTTTAGATTTTGCCCTATTCTAAGAGACCACGTGATACAAATCTTTGATCTCTGTGTTGTATGAACTACAAAGTTAGGATTTTCTTGTATTGTAACCTAAAAATATGCATGCAATACATTCTCTCCAAAAAGTAGATTCGTCTAAAAGACCTCCTGTAGTTTGACCCTTGCATAAATAGACCACCTGCAGTAGGCGACTGAAGTATAAACTGAAGTATAAACTCGGATTTTGGATGGTCGCTTACGGGAGGTTTGACTGTATTTCAAACTAAGAAAACTTCTTTTCATGACATTTCAAGGTGATCGACAGATTGGCCTTAGCAGCGGGGCAATCCAATTTGATGTTCTGACTATTGACGCAGATGGATCAAGTCTGAGTTTAACATGCAACTGGCAGTGTGCAGTTCAAGATGGCGGATTTTGCTACTCACGAATAAACATAGGAAGCCTGATATTTTCAGGCCTTTCTGGATGTACAATTCACGTGCAGAGCAATCATTTTAGTGCGGGAGAAACCTATACCATCAGGTTGGTCTTACCTAGAGAAAAAAACAAACTATTAATTATACTAGATGATTTTTCAACTCGTTAGTGATTCATAAAGAGAAACTGCAGTTCGATATCAGATAAAAATATCGTAAAAAATTTTTAATTTGAGATACTATATCGAAGTCGGTTTAAATATATGAAACGTTTGGCTACACCTAGTTTTTTAAACCAGTTGCTGGTGTCTGGATATCAGATGTTAGTAAAATCTAACTAGTGGTCCATTATCAATACTGCGTTCTGATTGGTTGAGCCACTACTAGGCTGTATGTTATGGCCCACTAGTAGCGAAAAGCGCCGGCTTTGAAAACCAAAACAGTGGCGGCTGAATCGCGTTTTGTTAGCTAAAGTTGTTTTGTCTCGATGGTTTTGACCAACTAGCTGGATTTTACTAAAACAATTATTCCTCTCTCCCTCATGGCCTGTGAAGCAATAGCCCATGAGGCCGAAGGCCGAATGGGCTATTGACTCAGAGCCCATTTGGGCTCTAGGAATGATTGTTAAAAAAAGTAGCGTCTCGCTTTGAACCGAACATTTTTAGAAGGTTGTTTGTAGTGAGGGGAACATTTGACATTGATTTTACTGTTACGTAGTAACAAACAACAAATGAAACAGTATGAAAGTATAAACGAAGTTACGCCCTAATTTATACAAATGCCTGAACAAACTTAAGAATAATGCTTAGCGCCATTTTCGAACGAAAGCCAAGTCAAACAAATATGTTAGGCTACAATTTCAAATACATAAAAAGCAAAAAATTTCTGCGCTGTCTGGCATTCGTCCAACACAGACATACAGCTGTGCGGTTGTGTCGCAGACTGTCCCACATCTTTAAGGTTTATATGAGACCAAGTTCGGGCTTGTTCAAACGTTAAATAGCGCTATCCACACTATCCAGAGGATAATTAATGAGGAAACCAACTACGTTATCCATTGAAAGAGACGTATCCAGAGGATAGCGTTATCCTCCTATCAAACAACTTGGGCCTCAACTTCTTTCCTTCCCTTTAGTGTGGATGTATCCAAGGGCTCTCGTACTGCCTCAGCATCCATATCGCTGACCGTGGTGGAAGGAAATCCTCCGCTTGTCTGGATGGGATCAGGAGCTCCATCTATCAAAGTTTCAGAAACCCAGAAAGTTGTTCTCAACGGATTTTACAACACTAGCGTTCAGCCAGCCAAAGTGGAATGGAGCTGCAAACGAGAGCAAGGTTGGTAGGCATCTTCAACTTAAATTATTTTCGATATAGTTGAAAAGTAATACGCGTCATGTCAATTTTATTGCTCCTACTTCTACAGTGACATCATCATAGGCAAACAAGTTATTACCAGTTTTTAACTAAAATATTAAAAGTAAATGCACTTAATTTTTTTAAGAATATAAAGATGCAAATACAGTCGAAGCTCTCCTTGCGACAACTCTCGTAAGCGACCAGCTCTAGTTACAACCACCTTTGTGACACCCCATTTAAACTGTGACTTAACTGCTTTTTAATGAAAAGCTCTTGACCGCGACCACTTTTGGGATCAACCAACTGGACTTTTTCTCTTTTTAAGCTCTCGTAAGCGACCACTCGGAGTCATATTCATATAAATCAACTCATAAAAATAGGTTAGCCGTGTCTATATCAGATACAAATTCAAAGAGAACAGACGGCAAATTCTTCTTGCTCGAAATATCTAAACATTAACTAAATATTAATTTAATTTAATTTAATCTCATTTAATTTCTTTTTTTTCTCTATGAATTATTAATAAGTTTTTGAAGCTGTCGTGAGCGACCACCCTCTATTGTTTTACCATGCAGTCGCTTACGAGAGCTCATTCTCGTAAGCGACCAGCTCTAGTTAGGGGCCGACCATTTAACTCTTGAGGGGGGGGTTGGGTGATTGGGTGATTTTAAAAAAAAATTTCCTGCAAGCGCTTGTCGGAAGAAAAAAATTGCATGCAGCACAAATGTAATAGAAAGCTTATGGGAAAAGAAGGGAAAAAAATATCCTGCCCACCAGATTGCTGGAAAAAAAATTCTTGATGACCAGAAATCACCCAGCCCCTCCCTCAGAAGAGTTAAATGGTCGGCCCCTTAGGACCACATTTTCGAATTCCCGAGGTGGTCGCTTACGATAGCTCAGGGTTGTTTTTACCCTACTTCCCCTCCCTCCTTCTCTTATTTCTTCTTCCTTATCGCTCCATTGCTGTGTCGGAATTTTGAAACACACATTTATAACCTCTCTAGTCGAACAAATACCCAACTGAATAACCTTGCTTTATTTGCCTTTTCTCCTAGGCTTTGCTTATGTAGATTTGAGTGGCTTTACGTTTTCCCACGAGTACTTTGCTGGCAAAGAATCATACGCGTTGCTGATAATACCCGGGGCTGTTCTTAAAAAGGGGTCAAAGTATAAATTTCAGTTGACAGTAAATGTTGGCAGCCAAAGCGGTACAGCATCTATGGTGGTGGAAGTCAGAAAAGGCCCCGCGTCAGGATCGTTGACTGTTAATAAAAATAATGTTGAAGCCCTGTTTGAGGAAATTACGATATCAGGTAATAAAAAAATTTTAAAAATCTGGACTGGTCGTTATATAAGGTGGAAGAAAAAATAGAGAGAGACAAGAAGTGCCGGTCCTCTTTTAGGTTCTGCTAAATGTCTTGATTATTTGTGTTTGTTTATTAAGGGTCACTTCACAAAACTGAAAAACATCCAGGATTTAAATAGTGAAGATAAGAGGGGCATGAATTGAATAGTCGAATGCAATGATAATCTTATTAACTTATCTGGCTATTTGACAGTATACGTATTAATACAAACATACTTTATTCAAGGTATCATAAAAATAAAACACACAAATACCCTGACAAGGAAGTTAAAGAGGTGGACCCTATATGAACTAACGCCCTAAAAATAGAAAGTAAAAGATCAAAACATTGTCTAAAAGGAACAAAAATTCACATAGAAAACGAATGAAATTATGAAATACACATACATGATTCAAGAGTAGTTTTAAAACCTCCAAAACGTAGCGGGGCAAATTTTCCATTCGCGCCCGACTAAAAACATTCCATCTGCCTGGATAACGAATGATTTTTGCTGGAATAGATATACACCTTACAAATTTTAGTATCATTTTAACAACCTATAGGGTCAATATCAATTTTCCTTACTTTTGATTCAGCTCCCCGATGGACAGTTGAAGCAGACGCTAAACCTCTCCGGTACTCTTTCGGAGAGATAGTACATAACGTTTGTGAAGTTTGGGAACCTCCGTCGGATACACCCGAATGGACGGGCGTTCTGCCAGCTGGTAATGATCCTAATAATATCCTTACCCTGTGCTTGATCGTCGAGGATAAGTTTGAGTCATTTACCGTGAAAACGATCAACATCACGTCGAATCCACCGAATGCGGCTGCTCTGTCTTCGGATGCTCTTGATGGGTTATTCCAAAATGATGTCCAGGGCCAGCTGCAAAGCGGCAATGCAGATAAGGCATTGAGTTTAGTAATAATCATTTCAGCCACTGTGCAAGACTCTAATGAGACTACAGGTGGGTCACGATAAAATATTTTTTACCCCAGAATATCTATTAAGGGCCATTTTTTAAAGAATACGAAATGACATTACGAACAAAAAGAGTCACTATGACGCTAAAAAACGACGAAGAGCTACACAACCAAAATGGGAAGACTCGCTGTGTACGCAATAATCTGACACAGCTGTCTGAGATCTAGAAACTATATGTCTTGTTAGCTCGAGCTCTAGGGACATGCAAATGTTTCTTCGATACTGCTTTACCTAGAGCTTATGAAAGGCCCAGACAATGTTAGCTTCCCTTGACATTCAACTTTCCATAAATTCTTTTACCCCAAGGCATTTAGCTCGCGTACCTTTAATTTACAAAAATTATCACCAAGCGGTTATATTCGGAGGGACCTATTCTAGGGAGGAAAATTTCTTTGTAAAATACATTCAATTTATAATTGGAGGAAGAGATTATACCAGTCGGGCATTGTCAAGACATTCCTGAGAACTCTGTTCCCTTTGAACGTGCCAATTTATCCGTCAGATATAGCGCTATACAAAGCATTTCATACTGTAGCTCGATGTTATCAAAAGCTAACGAGTAAACAGTGACGTCCAAATTTTTCCTTTAATTATACGGCGTTTTTCTGGGAGAGGTTGATGGTGGGAGAACCAAATATAATTTCCGGGCGGCTTATGTTCTTAGGGGCTTATCGTAGGACTTTTTAGTTTTTCGAATTTGAGTGGTTTATTGATGGAGGGTGTTATCTTTAAGGAGTGCACAGTGTATAAAGTTCTCAGCTTTACAATACGCTTGAAATTAATCCTTTCAGATGAGCTAAGGCGCAACATCTCCCAAAAGACTCAAAACTTCGTTTATGAATTTGTGAGCACTTCCATCGTTGTTAAAGGCAACGCTGGTCCACTTTTACGGGCGTTAGTTAATACCGATGCTGCGGCAGCTGAAAACAGGTAAGAGAAAGAGTGTATGAGATACTTAGACAGATGATAATCCACTTAAATTACGCGTTATCGAATTTTCTATTCAGTACCATAAAATTCGAGACAAAGTTATTTATTGGTTAGCTTTCTGCAAAGTGTAGTTAGTTTTCTGCGCATACACAGGTATAGCATGGTCAGTATAGTGGAATGGTTATGAATCCTGCCAAACCCTTTGTTGTATGTTTTTGTGGACTTGAGGGTGCACAACGTTCAATAGCATTCCTATCAAATTTCATCGTATTGACCGATAAAAACGTAGCATTAATTTATTCCGTAACAATTTGTGGACAAAGAAAAAGAACTGTGAATAGTCAGAGAGCTTTCAACATGAACAGCAGCGGCTTTGTTGTTTACCGCCTTTCATGATAGACCAGTGCCCTCTACCAACTATGTCTTCATTGATCTAAACTCTATGATTGGATTATTTTAGCACCAACATGGCTGGTACTTTAGTGAAGATTCTAGATGGGCTCGGGGACCAGTCTCTTAATGACAATCAGGCGAACAATACTATGGGCTGGATTGGTTATCTTGTTGGAGATTCGCTTGACGACAATGACGAGGAGTTTCAGACCGTGAGTGTTTGTTATGTAATCCTCTTTTAAACCCCGAGGGGCTTATTTATTTCAAACACGTTTAAAGGGAGGGGGCTTGATAGAGACGAGGGGCTTATTTGAGAGGAAGGGTTTATTTTAATTTAGCAAAAATGGTGGTATCAGTTCTCCATAAAGAACTAGAATGCAATGTGGAAAAGCGCAAATACAAGAAGTTGGAGGTCATGCAGCCGAGGATCTAAAACGAATTCGAACTTCCAACACGAGAACAAACCATCCCAGATCAGTTAAAATGACGTTTTGCAGTCATGATTGAGTAATACAGTCAATCATTTATTAGTGAAGAATAATAAGGGGGAGGGGAGGGGGGATGAAAAGAGAGGGGTGGGGCTTATTTACTTTCTTCCCCTGAAAGGGGGCTTATTAGATAGGGGAAGGGCCTTATTTGAGAGCTTAATGTAGGATTTAGGTACTTTATGAAGAGGTAATTAAGAACACCCTGACTGAGCACTTTACCTAATACGGTATATGTAAGTAGCCTCTCAACTTTTCTTAACTTAAATGTCTCTTTCAACGCCCATGACTGTCAAAACACCAGATAACACACGGCCAATAAAATTTTTCCTGATCGGAACTCTAGCAAACACATACCCCATGATGCTGTAACCTTGTGGCAACCTATGCTCACAGTCATGATGACCAGTATGCCAAATTGGTTTCGGTTGTGAATTGTTCCGCAATTTCCCAAGAGTTCAAATTTTAACTAGTTAGGGATCTATCATAAACAGCTATTGGAAAATACATGTATATTGATGAAAAGCCTTAAAGAGAGTTTTGTACATCTGGTGTACTAAAAGAGAGTCCTTACGGAATCTGAGACTATGTTAATGTTTATGTCATTTGTATACTATTAAGCAAACACACAATCTAGGAAATTAAAACCAAGAAACTCGAGTCAGTCTACAGTAGATGTGACATGGTTCTTAATTGAAAACCCTCAGAAAATCCAGGAATAAATGTAAACAAAGTCTGTTTCGTCCTTACAGAATATAATTGTTGCCTTAGATGGACTAAAGGTAATCTTAGAACGTCTCTTTCGTCCTCACAGAATATAATTGCCGCCTTAGACGAACTGGGGGACAATTTGGCGGTCGACTTAGCTCTCGGCGATCAACCTAGGGAAGTATCTGATGAGCGAGTTGGAGTGGTCAGTGTACAGGTCACTAGTCTACAAGCTGAGCTTCCAATAAGCAGCAAGCCCGGGGCTCCTACACTTGATCCAGGAGAATCGTTGAAGGAGTTTAGTGCCCCAAGGAGGTGTGGAGATGGCAAAACCTGTAGCGGAGTCCTTGTAAAACTGGTACATTACAAGCATAATTTGATTACTCCAGACGCAAGCAAACAGGATAGCCAAGTGGAGATTATTTCATCCTTGGTATGACCACCTGCACATTTGTACATGTATTTACTTTTATCTAGGAAATCGTGCACAATGCCTATTGCTCTAGGGACATCGGGTCCCAAAAAACTATTCGCCATTTACAGATTGCTGTATCATCGGATATTTTTTTATCCGCAAAGGGCCACACCGGGTGAATGAGCAACGGATCAACTTCTCGTTGATGCCGCCGTCTTCGATGCTTAAGCTCCCCCTCATGAGCTTATTATCGCCAAATTGCATTCAAATTTGCTGATTCGCAGATTAAGAATAATTAGTTATGTCTCTGCATTCTGTGCGATGAAGAAAAGTCAAAATTAATTTTTAATAACTACGTCAATCAAAAGCTAACTTTAAAAGGTAAGTTTGGAGAACTACTTTAAAAGATGCAAGATCTTGAATTTTTCTGATCTCCGCCGGAAGATTATTTCACAGTTTGGGAGCATCCGACTGAAAGGCTCGGTCACCAATCGCAGGCAGGCGTAATCTTGTACCCAGATCTCACTTTGTCTTACGGTGAGATTTGGGCAAGAGATTAGGACAGGCATCTTTTGTTGGGCTCTTATGACTGAGTAGAAGCTGATGGTTATTCAGGAATCACTCGACTGATGCATACGACCTTTTCTCTTGATACACTTTTTTTTCATGGAATCTTAATATGAATAGAAGTTGTTGTTGTTGTTGTTTTATTTTCACGCTCTGTAACAATCAATCATGTTAAATGTTTCTTTGCAGGTTATTAATTTTGTATTAAGTGACCCAAATACCAAGGTAAAGCTCACAATCAGCGGTCTGGCCAACCCACTCCAACTGAAATTCTCTGTTGGCGATCCTCCTTCTGGTAAACAGGCTGCATGCAAATACTTTAATGAAACACTCAGGATCTGGATGTCAGACGGTTTGGAAGCAGTAGGACCTGTCAATGGCACTTTAACTTGTAAATCAACCCACGCAACTGTCTTTGCTCCGTCCAACGATATAAAGAACGCTAGTAATGCCACGACTACGTTGCCACCTACTACTACTGTCGGAGGTGAGACATAAACACGTTACATCTAACGTTGGGACTATATACGTACTTGTACAAAGGTTTTTGAGGCTGCTAGTAAGCGAACATCCTCGGAGGAGTGATAAGACCACAATTATGTGTTAAATATAGTCGCATTTCTAATATTCAGTGTCCGGCTTAACTGTAATCATGTGGTGGAAATGGATATCACTGAAATACGGAGTAAATCACTAGGTCGTTCTTTCCTACAGCAAACCGTGAGGCCAGTACCAAAATTATGACTTCAAAATTGGCATCACAAAATCACAACCAAGGATTATATCCTTAACTGTGAATTGCACTTCACTCAGTCCTATTACTATTACAGACTAAAAAATATTGTTCTTTGGATTTGCTCTAAAGTACATAATGTTAAGATTATGATGATGATGATGATGATAATGATGATGACGACGACGACGACGACGATGATGATGATGATAACGATTACTGTTTATTATTATTATTGCTATTATTTTTTTTAATCATCCAATCTCAAGCAGCGTTTGTAAATTGCCTATACGTAGCAACATTTACAATTGTACATTCAACAACACAAATAAAGTTTCCATTATTATTATTAACTTTATTGTTCGTTGGTCTATTATTTTTTCTTTGTTACAGCACCAGAAACGAAAGCAGAGAAGGATCACACAGGCGCCATAGTGGGTGGCGTCCTTGGAGGCTTAGCTTTCATTGTCCTTGTTGTTCTTGGTATTTGGTGGTGCTCTAAGAAAAAGGCCAAAAATACCGGGAGGATATCTCCAGAATCGCCGCCACTAAATCAAGCTTCAAATTGCTAAGGCCCCGACCACATGAGCAGTTTTTCATTTGTTGATATACATGAGAACATTTTCCCAAATCTTGGGCCAGTTGCCGTAATTCGTAATTGTCGAAAAACAAGCTCGACAAATTTTGTGTCCTCATGCATGAGCAAATTTTTATTTGTGCGTGTGCACGTTTTCAAAAAATTTTATGTGGTAACTGTAATTGCGAAAAACTGCTCACCAGTTTAACGTGCATGTGGCAAATACCAGGCGTCACATGTTGAAAGATTTTCGTGTCAGTACGACTAGTCACATAGAAGGTAGACGGGAAAACAGTTGTTTTTGTTTTTCGCAATATCAGTTTTTCGAGGCGCAAGGAGCTAAGGGCGTCGATTTTTAGACACTCTAAGCGCGCGAGCCTTTTCAGCCTCGCTACAGACCCTTCGCTTGTCTCTTCGCGTTTGCGTTAATTTCTAGAGCGCATAAAAACTAGTTTTTGAGGCGTCATATGCATACCGTAGAACTTAGTACATAAAATTTGCTTGTATGAACGGAACGTATTAATAAGCAGCGTTAAAAAAGCAAAAAAGATTAACTTGATGTCACCTTTAAATAGACATATTAGATTCTTTTCTTACTTCATTGTGGAATGTCTAAATGATGTTGTTCAACTTTAGATGAACCAATGTAAATATTAAATAGAAAGAACTTCAACGTTTAAAACAGCAAAGCTGAAAGTTTAGATATAGCACTTGATTTAAAATCACAGCATTCATCTCAGAAAAAAAATGTTAATTCCACTGCCAGTTGCAGACTTACCCCCTCTAATGTGCCAAACCTAGAAAACATAAGTTGCGAACGAAAAAATATGCGCTATGAAGCAGGAATGTCATTGGTTTGATTAAATAACATTGGGGTAACATTTTCTTAAGTCTGGAGAGCAACATTTGTGTTCATAACATCTGTTTTTCGTGCAGCTAATAAACTATAGGAAACGTCTTTGCAAAAATATTTTTGTTGTGTGCTAGGCTCGCTTTCATTTTGCATGAAATGCCGCGCGTATATGTTACGTTTTTACCACTACGACCAGTTTTACGTAGTATACCACTTATACATGGGGTCATAACATTAAATATACGTGTTAATAGGAGTAAAATTTAAGTTTTTCTCTTCCTTTTTAATAGCGCAATTGAGTCATACTTACATTGTCATTTCCTACTCAAATGGGCATTTGGCAGAATACGGTCACACGCTACAAAAAAACACCTTGCAGGATGGCAACTGACAACGCAGAGGGGAAAGAAAGACAAAGAGAACATATTATTCAAAAAGCTAATATCCTTTCTTTACAAGCTCCCACTCCGTATGCGTCGCTTGTCATCCGGCAAGGTGTTTTTTGTACCATGTGACCATATTCTGCAAAGGGCCCTTTAGACGAGTGTCTTCTTGATAAGATCTTAAGAACAGCTGGTACTGTTCCATATATTAAACTGTAAATAAAGCACCATAAACGGCATACATCTGAGTTATAAACGTGTGCATTTATTTTTAGAGGCCGCATAAATGGCATCGTGCTCTTTAGCGAATCAGCGCATTCTTGGAGACCGAAAGGCAGCTTATTGGTGGGAGTCGTTGCGTCCGTTTGTACGTACGCGTGCCGTGTTCATTAAAAAGCTTGAGAGCCCCGACTCCCTGAGCATCATCTACTCTCATCGAATCAAACTCCTGAAGCATGGATTTCCCCCTTTTTCCCTGCTAAGTTTCTGAGGCCATGAAACCAGTGGTAGTTTCATTTAAGGGGCACAATTTGTCTGAAGCGTATCATATTTTTATCTGTATGCACAGGGGAAACAAGTATACAATTCAAAATTGTTGAACCTAACAGCTTGCTCCGTCTCATTAAAATAGGTAGGTAAGAAAAAATACACCTGAATTTCTGATAAACAGAAACTCTTTGTCTAGTCATATCAACATATTGACATCTGTTAATTTGAGTATTGCATGGATACATATATTTCTTGTACACCTTCTCAGTGACACACTGAGGTACAGCAGTCATAGGTAACAATTTTCAAAACTGAAACTAGGTTGCTAAGTCATAGAGGATTGTGGATAGGTGTAGCCTCCCCGCAGACGTCCTTTGGGGTTCGTTTGTCACGCATTCATTAGGACGTCTGCGGGGAGGCTAGGATAGGTGAGGATGACTGATACCACCAAGGTTTGTGGGAAAGTTCACGCACAACAGAAGTCTTTGCGTCCTGTTACTGGTCAAAAGTTAACTGTGCTTAGGAGAACCACTGCCGATGATAAAGCTATGAGGAATAGCAATGGAAGCTTTACTACCTGCTCTGCCTATCCCATACCAGAGGTACCAGGCACACATTGACCAACTTGGTGTAATGGAAATTTTTCTTGTAAAGCCAACAGGGCGCCTTTTAAAGGGAACGGAGAAAACCAGTAGAAAGGTCATTCTTTTTAAAACATAACAAAACAGTAAATTAAATCCTATACCGGTATGTATACCTAGACATATGATACACTATCCAGTGCAGTGTGTTGCTGTGCTCCTGCCTTTTACAATTTTATCAATAATAAATAAATTGTTTCGATGTTGAATTCTTCAATTCTTGATTCTTCGGATTTGTCAACCTTTTTTCAGTGGCCAACAGTGTATATTGTTCTAATGTCTTTTTTCCCCATTTTGGTCACTGTCTGTTGGGATTTTATAGGGCGTGTCGAACGACGTATATCGGTCGACACGTAAATATAGACAGAGTGGAGATTCTTTTTATGGGACATCATATTAAACCAATATTCTTCAACACCAACAATTTGTTGAAAGTTTGGCATAGCTTTCGGAACCCATTCGGATCCCTTAATCAGTGATGATGTTTGCTGTTATTCGCGACCGGAATGAACCGTGATCAGGGCTACAACCCTGCCCCAATTTATGGAACAATTTTTGCAGTTTCATCAAAACGGGGCTGCGAATAACAGCAAACGTCATCACTGGGTAGGTTCCGAAAGCTCTGTTAAACTGTCAACAAATTGTTGGTGTTGAAGAATATTTTTTTGTAACACGTAAAAATTCAGTTTTAAACAGTTTAACACCGAGACGAAGGGGAACTTTTTCTTGTATTTTAGACTTGAATGAGGTCTCTAATGATTAATGGAAAAAAAATGGATTAACTTGATATTAAGAAATATCCAGTTAACAGAAATCTTGATTCATCTTTCTCTGTCCAATTCGAAGATTTTCCCTAAAGATTTCGTTTTGAATTTTCCTCGGTTTTAAAATATTATGTATTCAAATAATGCTCTTTTCTTCACTAAAGGGCAACTACATGGAAACTTGTTTTGGCTGTGTAGTTCATGCGGGTCAAAGTACCAAGTGAACCTATTAAATGAGTCTTAAATGGCCTGGTTAAACGCAAAGTCCCTTCTTTATCGCAATCTTGGAATTGTAAGCACCCTATCGGTATCTCGGTATCCCAGGATATAGGCCATATAAATGCTCGAGGTTCAAAAACGTTGTTGTTGTTACTGTGCGGCTGTTGAAGCTGTTTGTAAGAAACTTTGAAAGCCGTATTCTAACTTACAATTTTAACGACAGAAAAATTAAAAGGGCTATTTCTTAAATTTTGCTTTGCTTATTAGGTCATTGGCCGCATTCTGCTGCTATTTATGTTATCGTTTTGCTATCAAACGTTGGCACAGTAAACATGTATACGTGATTGTCGGCTAATTAAGCACGATGCAAACTGTCACGGTGCAGCAGGTGCTTTGCGGGTGACCACTCAGGTGATTATCAATCTTAATTTATTAACTGTTTGCCTTTCAAGTTATCTGCGCACTCTTTCAGTGCCAGTTTTGCTCTGCAGAATGGCCGTGATTGCGTGGGTGACGCAGTCTTTGTTTCTTTCTGTGGCTATATTTCTCTTGCTGGAAGAGGAATCTGTTTTACATGCACGAAGAGACTTGTTGTGCCTCAAGGCAACGGAGGGGGCCGCGCAAGAAAGCAAACAGCCTCATTCTATCGAGAGCTCGGGGAGTAATTTACGACGAAGTTGCAAGATAAACAAAACTACAAAATGGCCAGTTCTTTTCGGGGGGCTGTCTGCCGCTCATATGAGCCTTACTCTTGTGGTTTATGGACTAAAAACCCACAACAAATCTGTCTGTTCGGTTCTACTTGTTGTTTATACTTCCTGCTGGGCGCTGACTTCTATTCTTCTGCTAGTGAAGCTTGGCTATTATTTGTCTCCAGGGCATTTCTTTCTTGAAACAACAGGGAGGAGCGGTTTTTTGTTCACTTTATTTACCTTAGCGCGGAATAAGTTCGGGACAATTTTTACATCGGCTCTACAGACAATTTTTCAAGTTGCATCTACTGACCAAAAGAAAGAGGTTTTCGAAGAATATCTATGTTCACCTGAACTGGAATACGCAGCTCTCGAACAAACTAGTGTAAACCTATCTCGCATTATTGTTGTTTCGTCGACTGCCTACCTTATTTCAAGTAGCTTCACTCTTTTTCTTATTCTAGCTCAAGACGAGAATTTTGAGCCAGTTTTAAACCAAGTGATGAGAAGCACAGGACCACCAACATTATGTGATGGACCAGTGGAACCAATAAGGGATAATGTTGATATTACAGGGAAGGATGATGAACAGCTTTCAAATGGTAGAAAATATAAATCTGCATTACGAAAAAATTCCTGTCACTACCTGAACAAGAATGAATTGGTCGTGTCTTTTCTGGAGGACGAAAGCGACGAGGATTCTTTTGTATTTGGCTGGCGATTGTGACGATTGTACAGTACAAAATGAATTATATAGATCTGGTTCGTCATTAAGTTTTCTACGACTTTCTTTTCATTTCTATGACAAGCGCGTGAAGTTATAAATATTGCAGAAACTCGCACGAGTCTGCGAGTCTTGTGTGGGCTTATTCATAGGACCAATACTAGAAAAGCACTGTCCCAGAAGCTCCCTGTCTGGTACCCAGAGTCCGAGGGCTTTTCAGTTAGCGAAAGGACACCAATCACTAACCCTCTAGGTACGAGATTAGGGAGCTTTAGAAAGGACTACGGCGACGGCAACAAGA